ATGCCTTTCAAAAATATGAATTGTATGTAAACTCGTAAAATAAGGTAGGAATAATTTTTTGGCCATTTATTTTAAATTTATGACGAAAGCAAAACAACTCAAAATACAATATTTCTTTATTTACATAACTTTTTCTACACACAGGAAATATGCTCTCTAATGGATAATAACTAACTTCGCCTATTGATCTCTATATATTGGATTGCTGATACACGATAAAAGTGAAGCCCAAAAAATTCACTAATTCATCTCTACGTTTAGTTTGGCTCTAATGTTTAATATAAATGTCAATGAGCATGATTGAGCCTTCGTTGCTCAGGAGATAGAGTGCTCGCCTCACAATGAGGTGACCCGGGTTCGAAACCCATCGATGGCTGGCCAATTTGAATTCAGCACACGGCTCTTACTGACCACATTGCTGACATAAAATATCCTCAGTAATAGACGGATCATGGGGTTGGAATCCCCTTGCCATTGTTGGGAAATTTTTGTGGTTTCCCTCTTTATGTAACGCAAATGTGGGTTAGTTAAATCAAAAAGTCCTCCACGAAGGCAAAACTCTCCTAATACTTGATCCCGGAGTTTCCTTGTTTTCTGTATTGGGTTTAATTACAAGGCTGCAGAATTGAAAATAGGTAGTCGTAAACTTCAAATTGGGCCGACTTATAAAAATTTAACATGGCTGTACAGATAAAAATTTAGTTTAAAATTAAGGAATTGCTTGAATAAAAAAAAATCACCTTATAGGTCATTTTTTAGGAAGTTTCAGAATATTAACAAAGTTAAAAGAAATTATGGTTTATATTTTACAAAATAAATTTTTGATACTTTTCTTTTATCGTTTTCTCCAAGAATCAAGTGGTGCAACAAAGATATACAATTCCTGCTCTTCTGGGATGGATGAGAAAAAGTTAAGCTGGATTTGATGGAATGTTCTATAAAACGAACAGATGTGTCTTTCTTTTTTCGTATTGAGCAAATATTTCCTTCGCTAATTAGATTGAACAAGTATTTATTTATTTACTTTACATTGTATTTTGCTTTGAACGTTTTTTACTATATACTATCATTTATTTTATAAATGATAATTTACACTTTAATTTATATTTCACGCTTCACTTCACTTTATAGTCTGCGCTTTATTTTACTTTATAATTTGCACTTTATGCTTTAATATTTACTTAACATTACTTTACTCTTAACTAAGCACTATAATTTTCGCTTAACATTATTTTAGGCTTTACTTTACATTTTACTATTTACTTTATTGCACGCTTTACTTTCTACTTCACTTTACTTTACGGTTTACTTTATACTTTGCATGACGCTTAAATTTATTTTTTATTTCATGATTTACTTTATTTTATGTTGTACTATACTTAACGCTATTTATGCTTTACTTTACTTTACGAAATAATCAGTTCTATCGTTATAAATTCAAATTTGTATTTGACTAAAACGCATTTAGTCAGAGATTATTGAAGTAAAAATTCAGCTGCTTAAGCTAGCATAGGCCTGCTATACCAGTACAATACCTGGCTCGTTCCAACCACAGTGCTGATGTAAAATATCCGTAGAGGTATATGGATAGGGTTAGAGTCCCCTTGCCATCAGACTAACCATGGAAGGTTTTCGTTTTTTTCCTCCCCACGTTAGTTCTATCAAAAAGTCCTCCACGAAGGAAAATTTTCTCCCTATACTTGATGCAGGAGTTCCCTTGTCTTTTGGATCGGGTTCAAATTAACAAGGGTACGGAGTTAAACATTGGTAGTCGTAAATCCAAAATTGGGTCGGCTATTTGACGACGGTTACAAAAAAACAATAATAAATAACTAAATAAAATACTGTTTACAAACTTTATTGAATATTTTGAGAGAGAAATTTTGGATCCAACAGGCAAGGAAAACAGTTGGAAAAGCAATTTCCGAATGAGTCATTTACATTTGAAGAAAAAATTGGATTATGTGCTGACTTCACTTGCAAAGGACCAAATAAATGATGCTGTGGCATTTAAAATAATTGGCACAGACACAGCAGGATCTCTATATTTAAAAGGTAACCGGAAATCATGGATCTTTGCTTCCACCTGCTCTATTTATCAAGATGTTTATTTAGAATTAGTTACCAGCCTTTCAACTGAAATTTCCTTAATGGCTTTGCGTTGATTTGTAGCGAGACGAGGAAGATGCTCGACAATTTATTGTGATAATGGGACAAGTTTTGCTGGAGTCTCAAACTTACTTACTTCACTTAATTGGGACGAAGTTGTAAAGCATGAAGCTATTAATGCCATCAACTGAAAGTTCCAATGGCTGCATGGTGGGACGGTTGATTGGAGTGTCTTATAAAAATGATGAAAGCAATTTTATCTCAAGAATGAATGCCAAAAGTATTATGTGATTGACATTTGCCAGTGGTGTTTCTTCACGATATTAAGGAATCAAAAAAGCCTGAACCGCAGAATTCAATACAGATAAATTCTCCAAAACGCATTGCGAAACAGATATAGATCTGAATACCTTGGTAGTTTGGTTCAATAAGCGGTAGCCTCCTGTTGGTGATATAGTTTCGATTTTGGATTCGAAAACACTAAACAAATAAAATATCCACGAGGGCTAATTATTCGTTTACTTCCAGCAAAAAAATGAATACGCTAAGTTCATCAGGATTAAAACTGCAACGAAATACGCTGCTTCAAAGAATTTATCCATTAGAGATTCCGAGTTCAGCCGAAAATTCCTCACTTATTACCTCAAAATTAAAATCTATGTAGGATAAGTCATCAGAATTTGAAAAAGATGAGAAAAACTTTCCTATGTCCATTAAAACAACTAAATCAGGCTGAACAGTATAAAAATTGAAAGATAAATTTTAAATTCTAAATTATTGTTGAATTATTTTTTAATATAATTCCCTTTTCTAAAATATAATTAAAAGGTTGGAGAATGCAAAGCATTAGATAAAAAAGCTATCGTTTGCACATTTTTAATCAAAATTATTATTTCACCTTTTTCTAAATCGATTATCATATCGTTTGAATATTTTTTTAGTCATTTATAGAATTTTAGTTAAGAATTGATCAGTAGCTGTCTTAATTTTTTTTTCTACCGCTCAAGAGGTGAGGTTTTCATTTAGAAACATAGTAAATATTTCTTCTCTTTTTTTTTAAGTGTTTCCAATTTATGTCCTTAAATCAGTTAAGGTAAAGGTTTTATCTTGGACTGTAACACAATTCATCGAAAAGTGAAGTTAAGGGCTAATTTTTTTAAGGATCAGGAAAAGTTGAACACATTTATCATTTTGTTGAAATTTTCTAGAAATGTTCCTTTGTGAAAATTTTAGACACTTTTCTTTCAATTTTACAGAATTTATTTTTGTTTTAGCTTTGGAAAATCAAAACTGAAATTTATCTGGTATTTTTAGAAAAATACATGGATTTAAAAAAGCAACACTTTATGCGCCGAGAGCAAATCTTGATATTGGCATTTTGTTACTACATCCACATTAAATAAAGACATAAAAGCTAATGGTTGATTCTTGGCGAAAGATCGTTCAAAATAAAGCTTCTTAGATTTTGGTCATAGAATAACTTATTTGAGCCAACAAAATTCCTTAAAAGTATATGTATTTAACTGAATTCATATTAATGAGTAGAAATTAAAAAACGGCAAGAAATGCATGGTGAACAGTGCAGAAAATAAAAACGAACACCCTTTATAATTTTTGACCTAATTAGCAGTTTTTCACTTAACTGGATTTAATCTTAATGATTCGAAGTCGTAAAGTTAATTATTATCCTAATTATTTAGCTTTAATTCTAATTATTTTCAGCAAATGATATTTTAAGTTACGATGCCAAAAAACTTAAAATATCATTTATTTACATCTATCATTAACCAATTTACGATTACAAAACCTATTTTCGTGGAATACATGGGTATTTTTCGACAAATTTAAACTCTTTTCCCTCTAAATATGAGGGTTAGCTGCAGTCTAGAAAATATGGTTCCAATAGTTATGGCAGGAGAGTAGTCGAACCTTTGAGCCTCTTGCAATTAATTTCCTTTTTTATGATTTTAAAATCTCTCCGAAACTAGTAATGAAGCAAATCAAAAAATATTAAGAAAATTACAAAATTTGTTCATCCAAACGTAATTTCAAGAAAAAATTATTTTTTTAATAATTGTTTCATTTTTTATTATTAAATTTTTTAATGGTCAAAAACATTTAAAATTGTTATTACAATTTTTAAAACTAATTTAACTAAAAAATCTATTAACGACGAAATCGAATACTTCTTCGCAAATAATAAGTTCAACATAAATTTTATTGATCGGAAACTTTTCGATGTAATTCGTTTGTCATCTATATTTACACGGACATTCTATTCATTAAATAACATTCTACTTTGTCATTTAAATTTACTTAAAATTTAAAAACCTCTCGACGATTATTAAATAATGTCATAAATAAAANTTTAAAATCTCTCCGAAACTAGTAATGAAGCAAATCAAAAAATATTAAGAAAATTACAAAATTTGTTCATCCAAACGTAATTTCAAGAAAAAATTATTTTTTTAATAATTGTTTCATTTTTTATTATTTAATTTTTTAATGGTCAAAAACATTTAAAATTGTTATTACAATTTTTAAAACTAATTTAACTAACAAAATTATTAACGACGAAATCGAAAATTCGAATACTTCTTCGCAAATAATAAGTTCAACATAAATTTTATTGATCGTAAACTTTTCGATCTAATTCGTTTGTCATCAATAGTAATAACATTCTACTTTGTCATTTAAATTTACTTAAAATTTAAAAACCTTTCGACGATTATTAAATAATGTCATAAATAAAAATTAAAATTAATTTTTAACATGAGATTATATTGGATAAACGAGTTTACTAATTCTGGGCAAAAAATTTTTTCATTCGCTTAAAAACATTCCGAAATATAACAAAATATACAATAAGTAAAATTAACAGGGGAATTAAAATGAATGAAGAGTTTAATGGCAAAAGATTCAAAAAAGTATGCTGCTCCAAACATTTATTTTATCATAACAGGACCCAAATGTTTAACCTAACTATTTGGACCATATTTTTGAGATTGCGGCCGCTTTCCACCCTATTTTGAAAATCAAGAACTCAAATTTGTGGAAAAAAGGTTTATTTATTCAGAGAAAGTACGATTTTGTGTCTGCTTTCGTAACTTGAAATATTGTCCGCACTAATCAATTAGCAAATTTTAGATTAGGCACTCGAATAATTTAGATTGACCAGTCCCAGTATTAAAATACATATCTTTGCAAGCGATTCATTGTTGTTCTCAGTTGATTGTAACCGTGAAAATCTAAGAAAAAGCGTTATTTTGAATAATTTTTGCGCTACGAGTTGTTCTTGTTGTTGTCATTTGACAAGTGCAGAAAAGTACAATTCAAATGGGACCGAAGGCATGGAGCACAGTCCTGGCCACATCTCCGACTTTTTCGGAATAAAGGGCACTACGAGTTAACCATAAGTATTGATGTCCAAATAGTTAATGTTGTTTCACACGAAATAAGAATCAAAAGCATAGTTTACTATAGGAAAAAAAATTTTGTCTAACAAAATTGATATTTCCCCCCCTCAAAACACCAGTATTCAATTTTGACCCTCCAAAAAACTTGCAGATTTTTTTTTCTTTTTGCCAAAATAAAAGATATGCATCGAATAGTTTTACATATATCCTGAAAATTTCAACAAAATTGACAATGCCAAGCATCTAAATCTGCCAAATTTCTAAAAGAACTGGCTCTTAAATTCCATGTTTATAAAAACCATACAACTGAAACGGATAACACATGAAATTACACGAAAATTATCACGTGCATTTTGGTGCTGTTTTAGAAAACAGAAGTTGAGTACAAGACAGTATAGATTTGTCAAAGCTGAAACCACTTAACATAATTCAAATTTATCAATTATTAACTACTTACTACTATAATATTGGTATATATTAGCCACCAGTTGGATATCTGCAAGTGATGTACGTCATCCTAGTTAAATCATGGCATTTGTCAATTCAGAAACCAATAAAGTTCGACATACGCGCGTGCCGTCGCTTACAGATATCCAGTTACATCTTATTTAAATAACATTACTTAGCATAATCACTTCACTTGTTTTCGAATTGCAAGTACTCAATCGTAATACATTTCAATCCAAACTACGAGTAAAATAATGTAAGAAATTGGTTGCCATTATCAAACACAATATTACGACCATTGAATAATTGAGCCGCTCAGAAGCCAATGCGGTTAAGTCCATTTTTTGNACTTTTTTTAAAGCGTTTTTTACAAATTAATATTTTCTTGTACTATTATGCATAAATAATTACATAATTATTAAGTTCGATCGTAATATTCAATTTCTAAATGAAATGTTAAAAATTATTTGTATGTTTAAGACAAAGTGCTAAATAAATTTTAGAAAAAAAAAACGCTTTTGCAACACTATTTTTTATTATTATCATTTCAGTTATTATAGTTCTATTATAGTTCATTTACGTCACACTAGAGCTGCACAATGGGCTATTGGCGATGGTCTGGGAAACATCCCTGAGTATGATCCGAAGACACGCCATCACAATTTTGATCCTCTACAGAACGGATGGCACCCCAGCTTCGGTAGCTCGACGACCTGCACGCGAAGTCGAGCACTTTACGGTAGAACAGTTTAACGAGGACCAATACCGCACACCCTCTGTCCCTACGCAGACTGATCCAAGTGGTCACTCACCCGCACACTGACCGCAGCCAGTGATGCTTGACTTCGGTGATCTGCAGGGAACCGTGTCTTAACGATCAGTTCACTGCGGGACCTTATCATTTCAGATAAATAATTAAATTAAATTAAATAATGACCGAATTATGTACGAAAAAACAAAGTAAGATTTAATTTTAAAAAAAATATTGATATTCGATAATATATTTAGCTAATTAACAAATAATATGACAATAATATTTTTTTTAAAAAAGTTATTATACTCTCTAATAAAACGAAGTGCTAAATGATTTAAAGAAATGAATAAAATACGAAAACCTTTCAAATTTCTTTGTATAAACAAAGTTGATTGACTTATGCCCAAATCCAAATGACAAAAATAAATTTTGTTTTAACTTTATTTCTAAAAATAAAAACAGCAAGATTTATAAATTTAAAATCAGTAATAAAAACTCATTAAATTATTAGAAGTTTCATCCAAAAAGTTTTTAATAAAATTAAAAGAAAATAAAAAAATAACCTAACAAATTCAATTCTTTATGGGCGCCTAAATTAGATTGCCGATAATTTTCATATTTAAAAATAAGAAGAAGCTTTTTTAAAAGAAAACTTTTCTAATTATTGAAGAAATTCTTCTTTATATATTCTTTTCAATAATAGATTGCCTTCAGAACAAGTTAACAACAGCGATCACGAAATTAGTCCCACTGAAAATAATCTACAAGAAAAGTCGCGACAAAGAAAAAAAAGAGGTGCGAAAAGGAACATGCGATATAAGGATATGTGTTCTCAAAACTCTGATTCTACAGCTTACCAATCGAGGCCATTTCAACATAACGAAACGAACATCGTCTTCCACAGCGCGAGTCGACATCGGAACGCAAGGGAAGAGTCTTATATCGCTATATCGTTATCTTATATCCTTGCGTGTCTTATATCGCTATATCGTTTTGCGCTCGTTGTCTTTACTCGACGGCTTAAATCAGATTTCTGATGCATCGCCTTGAATGAAAGTCGCTGTATCGTCTTGCCGATATAAGCGTTAAATCGATATGTCTCGATACATCGATTTATAGCCCAGTCCTAATCATAACAGGACCCAAATGTTTAACCTAACTATTTGGACCATATTTTTGAGATTGCGGCTGCTTTCCACCCTATTTTGAAAATCAAGAACTCAAATTTGTGGAAAAAAGGTTTATTTATTCAGAGAAAGTACGATTTTGTGTCTGCTTTCGTAACTTGAAATATTGTCCGCACTAATCAATTNTGGCGACGAATAACATTTTTTTTTCTATTTTGAATTCTGTGACAATAAAATATACTTACGATTTACAACATAATAAATAACAATGCTATATTTTATTCGTAAATTCCGGGAAAAAAATAAGACGAGAATATCCGAGAAAACTCGTAATAATGTAAAAAATAAAAACAAACCTACAAAAATAAAATAGACTTTTAATATTCAAAATTTTGTAGTAATTATACTATTGCAAAATTCTTAATTTATGTTTTTAAAATTATGAGGGGAAAAAAAACCTTGCATGCTAGATTAAATATTAGTTGACTATTTGAATCATGACATTTTCATTCAATTTAAATATCAGTGATTTTCCCATAATTCAGTACAAATAGAGCATCTATTATAACTTAAATACTATGTACGTATTATACTGCCATTTCTGTAATTATATTTGTTGACAAATCTATGATTATGCTATAACATATCTTGTCTTTTTTAAGAAGTAGAAAATAAAAAGTATGATTAAGTCGAAATTTAAAAAGTAAGCCATGGAATACAAATTTATTATTTTTAGTAAATAATTATTTAGTGTCATTGTGAAAGGATGTTGTAATACCACAAAAATGTGCCCAAACTATTGGCGCAAAACTAATTTCATTAAACAAGGTAGATATTTCAACCATGTTTTATTTGTTGCGTAATCTGTCAAAAAGGTTAAATTTTTTAAAATAAATCACCTTTCGTGAATAACGCACACATAAAGATTCAGAAATGAACTTACTATAGTTTCGGTTCTATAAACATAAGAACCTTCCTCATTGTCTAAATAAAAAATGACACTTTTCTACAGTCATTTCGTGCTCTTTAGACACTGTGAAAGGTTCTAAGTTTATAGAAACCAACGAAACTATAATATGTCCATTCCTATACTTTTATTTGTAAAATATACATGTTTTGCTTTACTTCAATGCAGCGCAAAGTATCCTATCTTTATTTTAACATCATTCCGTTTGTTTCAAAATGTAAAGCTATCTTGATACTCACTTATATTTGTGTTTTAACAGTTATTATAAAAATTTCTCAGTAGGGAAATTTCGCAATTTTAAGTTACATTCCTTACGTAAGATTTGAAGTTATTGCGCATGCATTAGCTTTGATGAAATGCGCAAGGGCCCGGGTAAAAATATCAAACTAATGTGAAAGAAAATAAGAGATATTGTAAAAACACGTAAGTTAAAAACACTAAAGGAATGAAATAGATCAACTTCGACCACAAAATTAAAACAAACAATAACAAAGGACGCGGATGTTATGAAAGAAATTTCTTCCAACATAAATTGTATGATTAAAATAAAATTTCAAATTAACGACAAAATATCTACATTCTTATGGATCTAGTTCAATTAGACAACCATAATTTAAAATTATAACTAATTTGCTTGTTTGTATAAAACCACGCCAACAAAGGCATTATATATAAATAATATATGAACGCGAACAAGAATCTAACCTAATCGAACATAGCAAAATCTCACGATTTACACCAAATTTTACGCAACGTTTTGTTTAGTTTAAGGAATAAATGAAATGCATTTAATAAACTGCTTTCGTATTCATAAAGCGTGGATTAAAAAGAATTATATTTTGAAAAAGCTGATTTGTACAAATTATTTTTATTGATTCTTTTTTGTACAAAATTATTTTTAGGCTACTGAATTGGATGTTAAACAGAAGTTATCAATTTATGGGACCATTAAAGCAGTCAGAATTATCAGAGACGGCATTGGTGTATCAAAAAGGTTAGCTAATAATCTTTAATTTTTCTTTTTCTTAAATAAAACAAAATGTAACTTTGCTTCATTTTCTGTGAAAATATTAAATGAAAAATAAAACAGAAAATTAATTATGTTTTTATTTTGATCAGTTTAAAATAAATATGGGGGGGGATATCGTTAATTAAATTGATTATATTAGAATTTTTGAAAAACTTTTTTTTGCTGTCAACTGTAACATAATTTGAGATTTTTTTCATGCTTAAAAATTTTAAATTTATATTTTAGTAAAATAGAAATAAATTTATTAACCTTTATTCTTTTATGCATAAGTTTCATTCCATTTATTTAAAACATAATTTGTTTCTAAAAATAATAACAATACTAAATTAAATCATCATTCATTAAAAAAAAACAGTAACATGTTATTTTTTTACTTATTCTTTCGTTAATAATTATCAAACTAAAGTGCACATATAAAAAAATAACATATGTTTTAACGAGTATTTTTTATTTAAACAAATAACATATAGTAATGAATTTTCACTATGTTTCTTTCTTAGATACGGTTTTGTGACTTTTAATCTAGAAGACGATGCCAAGAAAGCAATGGAAAAAGTAATGTCCATAAAATGTTTAATTAAAGACGTAAGAGAAAGGGAATAGTTCAACTAACTCGAAAACTACTGTTTAGAGCAGGGGTGTCAAACTCGCGGCCTGCATGCGGCCCGAGATGAACATTTTTGTGGACCAGTCAATATAACCGACGCAAAGTAAAAATAAATTAGAAATGTGAATTATAAAGGAAACTATCATATGAAATTATAATATATTTTATTTATAAACTATACGGATCATTTTAAATTGTACGCGTGAAAATGTAAAATTCTAATGGGCTTGCGGCACCTGCCATGCTAGGGATACTGCATCGTATCAAAAATACGCAGAAAAAATTTTAAATCTTAGAACGGAATTTGAAACAAGGTTTAAAGATTTTAATTCCTCGGAAAACAAATTTTGTTTGCTTTCGCCGATTTTCTCAATAAATATAGACTCCAGTAGTATGCAAATGGAAGTGATTGAGATTCAGTGAGACTCAAATTTAAAGGCAAAATTCGTTGAAGTGGTTATGCCTGAATTTTACAAATATTTACCGGCAAGGTTTGAAAATACTCGAAAATTCGCATATGAAATTATTTCCATGTTTGGAAGTACTTATCAGTGCAAGCAAACATTTTCTGTCCGAAACCGTATTAATAACGCTCATGTTGGGTCAATTTTGAAAGTAGTCTCGGCCAAAAAAATTTCTCCCGAAATAGGAAAGATAGTAGCAGAAAATAGATGTCAAGTATCAAACAATAATTTAACTTTATATATGTTTATTACAATGTGCTATTCAAAATAAAAAAATTTTTTTCTTGCGGCCCCATCTAAAGTTAAGCATTGTTGATTTGGCCCAAGTTAGCTTTTGAGTTTGACACCCCTGGTTTAGAGCAACTGGTCTTACGTTTATTTTCCGTTATAAATAAAGCGCGAAAGAATTCTTTTAACAGCACAGTCTGATTTTATCACAGAATTATTCATTTACATTAATTTTTCTTAATATTTAAGGCTCAATATGTTATGTCTGAATAAGAACAAAAGATGAATTTAAAGGACGCGAAATAAATAATGAAATAATATTATTTTGATGTAAAAATAATTCAAAAAATAAAGTAGGAAGGAAATAAACTAATGAGAGATGCATAGATAAATATTTCATAATTTGTAAATTATAACTATATAAATTTAGACTTATTTTTTTACATGAATTTAAATAATGAATACGTAATAGTGACTCAATAAACTTCTATGTAGTTAAAAATAAACTTAAGTAAAAATTTGTAGAAGGTTGAAATTTTCGTCAAATGGCTATTAATTCTATATAAATAAATAAATGTCGTAAATTTCAGCTGATGTGAATAAAAATTGCATAAATCACGAAATTTTAATGTGGCACAGAAATTGTATCATTCGTTGTTTCATTGTTAAAAAATTGTTTTATTAAAGTTAAGCAAAGCAATAATAATGCCGTGCTATCGAAAAACTAACGTAGACGACAAAAAATTGAGATTTTTATAGATTTTGCATGATAAAAAATAGCAAAAATGTTTTTTTCAAAAATAATTTCTCATTATTAATTAAGGAAAAATTTTTACATTATATTTAAAACTCATTTTGTTTTACTAAATGGACTTTTAAACTTCAAAGGATTAAACTTTTAAGGAAATCAGCAGCTAATTCTTTACAAATAATATAACGCAAATTAGAAGAATCATTCCATATTTTTTTTTTAAAAAATAGCTTTTTGCATAGTTTACTTTGAAGCAGTGAGTTTTATTAGGTAATGGTATAGCGAAGTAAATAATAAAATTTTTAACTCGAACTTAATTGAACTTTTCTAATAGCAAATTGTAATTCAGTGTCAATTAAGAAAATGCAAAAAAAAAAAAGTATTTTGTTTAAATTAACAAAAATTATCTTGAATTCTATTTGTAATGTCATGAACTGTTTTTTTTTTCTTCTTTTTAATGTTACGCTGGTCACGATGGAATAAATACAGTCAACTGTTTTATATTCTTGCTTTCCTACATAACATAACTTTATTTTATTTTTAAACTGAAGATCTAATTTTTTTATAGAATGAAATCATTCTGAAAGGTAGGAAATTACATGTCGCACCAGCTGTTAAAAAGAAGGTAAATTTTTATTCTTCATAAAATTTTGATATATAAGTAAATAACAGTAAAAATTGTTTTATTTTTCCTTCTTTAAAAGTAACTGCCGAAAATCATACTAATGTAAAAGAAAAATAAATAAATATATTATGCAGATTAATTTGGAACAGCATGCATAAAACTAAATAAGCTTTCTCAAATTTTAAATAGTTTTTTTTTCTATACTGTTTTTCATAGGCCTAAGCTTGAAAATTCCATTTATTTCTGTTGAATTTCATAAAAACTAAACAGTAAAATATAGGATGCTCCGTGATCATCGCCTATTATTTATATTTTAGAATCCTTGCAAAAAAGAATTCGTTAATATTTAAGCTATTAAAGTGGCAAATTAATAAGAATACAAAATCTTATCGAAGTTTAACAAATCACATCTGATGGAAGAGCGACTGAAAACATCAAACCTGTTAGATTTCCAGAAGTAACAGAGAGAAGTTGAGAGGGGATTGTTAGAAATTTCTTCGAGTTTCATCAAACTGATGTTGATGTCTTCCTACCAGCTTTTCTTACTGGCCATTCATCAGATTTCGATGGTAAATCTTTTCTATTACAGGGTGCGTAGCCAAATTGTTCAACAAAAAATAAGCTCCTTTTAAGCACTTTTCAAGTACTCAAAAAATACTTTCAAGCACTTTAAAAAATATCATAACTAGGCAGGGTTGGAAAGTTTTTGACAATTTACGGTTTTATCTTGTTTTAACCGTCATACCAGAAAAAAAAAAACGTTTGGCATTATTTTTGACAATTGTCAAAAATCATGAAATTTTGAATTATGTAAGACGAATGGCGTTTTCATACGCTACGGACTGACAATACGCCGAAATAGATTGGGGTTGAATTAATTGTGAAAACGTTAAATAGAACAATGTGAACTGTGTCTTTTTGCATAATTCGTAGCGAAAATCAACATGGTAAAGGAAAAATCTCATTAAAAAAAATGGGAAAAATTAAGCACTTTTTAAAAACACTCAAAGAAAAAAGCACCTTTAAGGGCTTTTAAAAAACGAAAATAAGCACCTTTAAAAAACGCTACGCACCCTGTATTATCAAGCGATAATAAAAAAGATTTATCAAACGATAATTAACAAAAGATTTATTAATTTTCGACCCATGACCATTTTTTACTTCTCTTTTGAAAATAATAATATAAAGACGATGATCATATTAGTTTAGTCAAACGGAGTTTTCATTGCAAGAGGAAATTTTTGTCGAACTTAATTAGCGGTTTTTATTTAAATAAATGACAATCCCTTCTTTTATTGATCGGTATGCTACCATTTTGTTAAAAATAAATTTAAATAAAGCTCTAAATGTTGTGGAAACAACATTTCAATAATATAACGCTGTGCCATTTTAAAGTAAATTGGACAAAATTTGGAAACATTTATGCGTTTGATTTGGAAAAAAAAAAAACATTGAACGCATTAACCTTTTTTAACATTGTTGAAAACTCATTTTATAAAAGATAGTAATAATGCGATCAATAAACTGACTTAGAAGATTAACAAGAAAAATAACAGAGGTATCCCACTTGAGAAAAAATAAATTTCCTTACTTTTCTTTGTGTGAAACCTGCCAAGTTGACCACCTTTGTAAGTTGGGCACCTGCATAAGTTGACCTCAATTATCAAGAACGGAAATTTTTCTATACAATATAAAGAAGCAAAACCTTTGTAACTTGACCACCTGTCTATCTTGTATGTTGACCACTGAAATAAGTCAATTTTGTCTAGGAGTATTATTATGAAATTCTATTCTAAAACCCTCATAAGTTGACCAGAAAAAAAAATTCAGAAAATTTTCTGTCATTTTGGCAATGTATGTTAAAATTTCACTTGCTTGGTGAAATAGTGTAAAAAGCTAATCTAAACCTTTTTGTGAGTTGACCATCAGGGGAAACTGTAAGGGGTCAGCTTTTGACCATTTCTTTCATCCGTTTTTTGAAAACAGGTGTGTTAGTTGAAAAGTTGCTCTTCCAGTTGCAATAGTGAGCAGTTGAATAAATGAATGCTCTAAAATATGCTTTGATCCTTTATTTATGGTCTTTGATCTTTAAGTGTAGTAAATAAATTTTAAAGTGTTCAAATAATTTTATTTTGTTAAAGTTTTCGAATTACATGTTTTCGTGTTCTGATATTTTAAGAAATTATATTTATTAAACACTCCACGTGCATAACTAATGAAATAATTTTTAAAAAAAAATTTGTTAAATATTAGAATTATATGTATCAAATTGAAGTTCATTCAGGTTTAAACACATTCCTTAAGATATTCATTTGCATATTTTCGGAATAAAATTTTAAGTCAAGCAAAAAANCGGACGGGTTAATAGGAAACGAAAAAGTAAACAATGACCCACCCCCTCTATAAGTTGACCACTTGCCTAAGTTGACCACTACAACAATGCACCACAAGTGATCAACTTACACAAGTTTTACTATTTGCGAAACATACTTAAATTAGAACTAATAAATTTTTTAGAACAATTATTCAGAAACTAGCACAGACCACTCTTCTGAAGCTTATTCACTTGAAAAATATCCAGTTTCATCTAGAAGCTATGAATATCGAAATTCAAGAATGCAAGAATTTAAAGTGGGTATTTAAAATTTTTCTTCGAATTATTAATGTTGATAATTACGTTTTTATCTATTATATTTATTTTCTATTTTAAACATACGATTGAAAGAGTCATAAAAACAAGTATTTTCAAAAAATTATATTACTCCAAAAATTATTTAGCATTTAAAATATGATTTTAAATTTTAATGTTCTTCTTTTTAAAGTAATTTTTTAACGCTGCGTCACGTTTCTCGTTAAAGATATTTTTTTTTAAAAGTATCTACATTCTAACAACTAATGTGAAACAATTAGCACTCTTTTTTTAAAAAAATTAGATTGTAATGTTTTATTTATTAATAATTTATTTCATATTCAAATTTACATGAAAAATTGTAATACTTATGAGTATATTATAAGATTTTAAAATGGGAATGTCTGAAAAAAAATTACATTTACCTATGAATTTATTAAAAGTTAAGAAAATATAATTATATAATTGATTACATTTTTTCCTTTATTTTCTTTTCAGCAATTTGATCATTCTTCAGGTAAGATTTTTGATGCACAAAATATTATAAAACCTGCTTCTTTTTGAAAAAAAAAATATTTTGAAAACTTCAATATATATATATATAAAAATTTGTTTAAAAAATCAGAAATGTTATGTTCTGTGACAGGAGTGTTAAAAAAAATTTAAAATCACACCCTTTTTTAATAATCTGAAATTTTTAAATAGCAAATTCAAAATGATATGAATGTAACAGATGCACTTTTAAATTGATTTCTTCAATGAAAATCAATAAAAATTATTTTATTTGTCTTTGAAGCTAGAAAGTGGAGGAGACAAACTATTATCTCCGTATCCTTGAAATTGTGAAGACAATATTATTATTTTTCAATAAAAATAAAGTAATCGAAATATTATTATATTCAAACATTTCTTTTAACGATAAAAAATAACGATTGGGCTATTTTTCAGCTACGCTAAAGCAAATAAAATTTAACATTTGGCTTGGTATTAGAAAGAGTGAATTTTACACAACTTACTATGATTATACGTTTTCAAAACCGACCATCTGAAGAACGCCACCAACAATTTAAACTCATACACTTATGTAAACCATCCTGAAGCATATTTGAAAAAACAAAGAATTGGAGAGGCAGATCTGCTTCAGAAATACACTAACTGTTGAATAATTTTCTCGTAAAAACGCATTAATAAGTTATGTAAGCATATTATAAGTTATTGAATAATTCCTTTAGAAAATGTATTGTATTTAAAAAAGTTAAAGACATTTCAACTAATCATGGTTATCTGGTATATTTAAATTTTTTATCCCATCCTAGATTTACTCTTAGTTCAATAATTTTAAGTACACATTCAATATTTCTAAAAAAAGATATGCATATAATTGCTTTTATTTGAAGACGTTAATTTATAATAAAAAAATTGCATTTTGTGCAATCAGGAAAAGTTGAAATTGTACTCTTTCACATTCCATAATTTAAAACTGCCACTTCACTAGACTGTAATAATTTATTACATAAAAATAATTTAAACTGTCACAAACTTTAGTTCAGATCGTTGTTCACAGGAAACGATGGATTTCCACAATTTTCTAATTTCTATATGGAAAGCGGTCAGTGTTATGGTCTTACAGATATGATATCACCCTACGGGAACCCACAGGTATTTATTTATAAATACATTTATTTAGAAATAAAAACAAATATTTCAGGCTTTAAGTTTAGTTCCATCATAAAACTTAAATAACAAACATTAAAACACGAATTACAAAATTATATTTTAAATGTTTTTGCAGATGAATTTACTTTCTTACCCAACACTGGTTTATGTACCACAACAAGCTTTGCAATATGCTGGAACTGTAAGTATTTTGTTTTTCAGTGATAATAAAAATAATACTTAATTTAAAGCATGAGAAGTTCTTAGAAAACAAAAGACTTCAGTAAGCTTTGATTTTAAGTTAATAAAATATTGAACATAATTAAGCAACACAAGACAAAAGAGGTAAATATTTAAATATTTTTGAGTACTTACAATGATATTACAATGATTATTGCCAACAATGATAAATTCATGAAATAAAATCAAAATATTATTTTTATAAATATCTTCAAATATTTAAAGAACAATAGGAAAAAACTTAACACAAAATTTTCATTTCTTTTTCAAGCTATATTCTTATTGTTGCAGTGTTATATTTAAATTTTTGAAATTATCATGGTTTAATTAAATAATCTTATTTATTTTCTTCAGATGTTGCTTTTCCTAAAGCCCTTGATACTTAGATAAAGTAGCGACATGCCGCCATCTTGGTGACAGCAACTTTCAATGTAGAAATACTGAGATTCTATTCTTAAACGTGACTTTTTATTGATTAATCTTTTCATATCCCCAGAAACAACTTAAATATTCACTATTTTTCGTTTTTTTCTGTCTGAAATTATATATTTTGTGTTTATTTCATTCAGGGAAAATAATATCTTATCTATAAGTTATAACTTTTTTTCATTTCGTCTTTCATAATATGCTATAACTTTTTTCTAAACTCTTTGAAATTTTTCGCAGTCGGTTTTTAACGTGGTTCAAAGCGTTAAATACAGTTAGATATAATTAAACTAATATGTTTTTTTAGATACTTTAAAATTAAGGCATGTGATAAAATAGTCAATAATTAGTAATTGGGAGCTTGTCACATTTAATAACAAAATAGATGAGTTATGATTTGTTCAAAAACTAATATATATTTCTTTGAGAATTCTTATTCAAATTCTGAATATTAAATATAAAAAATTTATTTTGCAAAATTTTACTATAATGTTTGAATTACTTAAAATAATAAAAAATAAAGAAAGTAGGAGTTAAAATAATAATTAGATTATCTTATTAAAAAGTATGCATTTTATATCAATTCATTTGAAAACTAATTAAAATGTTTCCCTAGAAAACATTCAATTCTGGCAACAAAACACTCAAATATTTAAATGCTAATAAAATTTATTTTTCAAGCTTTGTAACGAAAAAAATATTTAAGTTAAAAACAATATTGGTAGTTTCCCTAGAAAACATTCAATTCTGGCAACAAAACACTCAAATATTTAAATGCTAATAAAATTTATTTTTCAAGCTTTGTAACGAAAAAAATATTTAAGTTAAAAACAATATTGGTAGTCTATTTTCATTTCTTTCAGGTGAATATATTTAATGCAAATGAATTCGTTAAACCTCTAATTGAAAAAAAAAAACGAAACATATTTTTTATACATAGTTAATAAATAATATCATATAAAATTCGTAACAAACTAATAAATAAATTAATTTCAAACCTACTTTTTACATCGTTAGGGTTCCATTTTTCTCTGCTAATTCTATGCAGCCATACTTTTTTTAAAAATTCTTTTTTTCCAATAGGTAAACTACATAATTTGAAGCCTAAATTTGTTTTTATTTAAACACCCAAATGCACAACAAACAGTCCTTATAAATTTAAAAGAATGAAACAAAAAAAGTTAAAAGAAAAGCGAGAATAAAAATATCAGATCGTTCGCAATCATACTTCACCATTCAACAAAATATAGTAGTTTAGCCATGCGATCAGCGGTAGCCAATTAAAATCAAAAGTGACACAAAGAAAAAGAGTGGCACTATCTAAGTATCCAGGGCTTTAGGTTTTCCAAGGAAAAACTGAAAAAGTAATACAAACTTTCTGATTTTCACAAAACTGTTATAATTCAAATGTTATTCCATGCATCACTTACAGAGAACAGTTATTATATCATGACATGATAAACATAATTAAAATAATTTACAAACATTGATAAACATGTTTTTAAAAAAACCTTACTTTGTTTCAGCTTTTCGATGCACATATATAAAAAGAATTTTCTTCAAATTTTTTTAAATATGTGCATTTAATCAAGAAAGTCTACGACTTGCACTTTGCTTGATATTTAAATTTTTGTATCTAACACGAAAATAAATAGAATCTGCTTTATATAATATAGATGTTGCATTCTTCCATATCCAAAAAGTGTCTAATACATACCCAATACATGTTATTATTATAATACATTTGCAATGAAACTTTTTAAAAAATTTGGTTCCCGTTTTTTATATAAAAAAAAAGCATTGGTTACTAAAATTTTGAACCTCAATCTTTCCAGACAGCTCCAATCTACCTCGGTACATCAGTACCAGAAGTTCTTCAACTAATTCCTGCGTCTATGTGCTGCATAAATAGACAATAATAGAAGTAATAATTTTTAGACTGTTGGAATTTGAATCTAATTTTTTGATGGTTTTTATATTGTTCTATATTACATTGATTTTTATTTGTAATTTTTAAGTTTCATACATTTTATCGGTACGTTATACAAATAATCAAATAATTAAGCTTAATTAAATTTTATGCAAGATATACTGTATATCCTGGTGTATAAGTTGACCCATTGCACAAGTCGATTCCTTATTTTTAATTACAAGATAGTAAATTTCTGGTATATTGGCTGTGTAAGTCAGCCTAGGAAAAAGTTAAATATGAAAATTTCTTAAATGAAAAAACTTTAAAAAAAATAAATAATGAAGTCTACAAAATTTTCTAGAGTTAAAAATGTTTCACATCGTTTTCTTTGAATATGATATGCCTTCAAATTAAGATTCATAACTTTATTGAATCCAATGCAGATGTTCTGCAATCTTTAAAATTATAATGAAGGTTTGTTGTATGTTTTAAAATGCACCATATATCTATAGCTAATAGTTTTTTAAAATATAATACTAGATTATATCAACTTTTCTAGTTCTTAATTATATTTTCAGGACGTAACTTAAAGTTTTGTTTCTAAATATATGTATATATAAAGAAANACTAATTAAGATGTTTCCCTAGAAAACATTCAATTCTGGCAACAAAACACTCAAATATTTAAATGCTAATAAAATTTATTTTTCAAGCTTTGTAACGAAAAAAATATTTAAGTTAAAAACAATATTGGTAGTTTCCCTAGAAAACATTCAATTCTGGCAACAAAACACTCAAATATTTAAATGCTAATAAAATTTATTTTTCAAGCTTTGTAACGAAAAAAATATTTAAGTTAAAAACAATATTGGTAGTTTCCCTAGAAAACATTCAATTCTGGCAACAAAACACTCAAATATTTAAATGCTAATAAAATTTATTTTTCAAGCTTTGTAACGAAAAAAATATTTAAGTTAAAAACAATATTGGTAGTCTATTTTCATTTTTTTCAGGTGAATATATTTAATGCAAATGAATTCGTTAAACTTCTAATTGGAAAAAAAAGCGAAACATATTTTTTATACAGTTAATAAATAATATCACTTACTTTTTACATTGTGCTGTTATCGTTAGGGTTCCATTTTTCTCTGCCAATTCTATGCAGCCATACTTTTTATTGTATTCTTTTTTTCCAATAGGTAATTTGAAACCTAAATTTGTTTTATTTAAACACCCAAATGTACAACAAGCAGTCATTATAAATTTAAAAGAATGAAACAAAAAAATTTAAAAGAAAAGCGAGAAAAAATAAAAGATCGTTCGCAATCATACTTCGCCATTCAACAAAATATAGTAGTTTAGGCATACGATCAGTGGTAGCCAATTAAAATCGAAAGTGACACAAAGGTCGCAAGAAAAAGAGTGGCACTATCTAAGTATCCAGGGCTTTAGGTTTTCCAAGGAAAAACTGAAAAAGTAATACAAACTTTCTGATTTTCACAAAACTGTTATAATTCAAATGTTATTCCATGCATCACTTACAGAGAACAGTTATTATATCATGACATGATAAACAGAATTAAATTAATTTAGAAATATTGACATTATATTTTACATATTTAAAAAAAAAACATATTTTAAAAATAAGCTTAGTTTGTTTCAGCTTTTCGATGCACACATATAAAAAGAATTTTCTTCAAAATTTTTTAAATATGTACATTTAATCAAGAAAGAATACGACTTGCACTTTGCTTGATATTTAAATTTTTTTTGTATCTAACACGGAAAGAAATAGAATCTGCTTTATATAATATAGATGTTGCATTCTTCCATACCCAATACGTGTTATTATTATAATACATTTGCAATGAAACTTTTTTAAAAATTTGGTTTCCATTTTTTATATATAAAAAAAAGCATTGGTTACTCAAATTTTGAACCTTGATCTTTCCAGACAGCTCCAATCTACCTCGGTGCATCAGTACCAGAAGTTCTTCAACTAATTCCTGCATCTATGTGCTGCATAAATAGACAATAATAGAAGTAATAATTTTTAGACTGTTGGAATTTGAATCTAATTCTTTGACGGTTTTTATATTGTTCTATATTATATTGATTCTTATTTGTATTTTTTAAGTTTCATACATTTTATCGGTAGGTTATACAAATAATCAAATAATTAAGCTTACTTAAATTTTATGTAAGAACTGTATATCCTGGTGTATAAGTTGATCCTTCGCACAAGTCGATTCGTTAATTTTAATTACAAGATAGTAAATTTCTGGTATATCGGCTGTGTAAGTCAGCCTAGGAAAAAGTTAAATATGAAAATTTCTATAATAGAAAAACTTATAAATAAATAATGAAGTCTACAAAATTTTCTAGAGTTAAAGATATTTCACATCGTTTTCTTTGAATATGATATGCCTTCAAATTAAGATGCATAACTTTATTGAATCCAATGCAGATGTTCTGCAATCTTTAAAATTATAATGAAGATTTGTTGCATGTTTTAAAATGCACCATACATCTATAGCTAATTGTTTTTTAAAATATAATACTAGATTAAATCAACTTTTCTAGTTCTTAATTATATTTTCAGGGCGTAACTTAAAGTTTTGTTTCTAAATATATGTATATATAAAGAAAATATGAGGGAAAATTAATTATATAAAACATAATAAAAAATAATTTTTGAAAGGAGTAAATTAATACAGGGTTATTCATATCAATAATTGTCTGACTTTACGACTGATGTATAAGTTATGGTGAGCTATAGATCTAGCCTAACCTAACTTTATTTAAAGCTTTAAGTTTATTTAACACTGTTGGCAACATTCGGTTGACAACTGTAGTTGCAATTTGGTTTTTCATTTTTTCAGCTTTACTTTTTCATTCTCAGCCGTCAGATCAGATGGTTGCGTTCTTGTTTTAGTTAATAAATTTATTTTATGCATAAATGATATTTATTTCTTTATGCATAACGTTCAATAGATCCTCGAAGACATGGGGGCCTAAATAAGTCAACGCCCTGATTTTCTTAAACATAGCGGTTTAAAAAGTCGACTTATACACCAGACAGTAATTTTTTTTTGAAGATGATTGTTATTACAGTTGATGGATAGTAAAAATATTAGTTAAATTTTATTTTCTTACATCAGTCAAAATTAAAAAAGTAAGTACAAGAAATCACCACCTTGCATCTTTTATTGCCCAGATTTTGAACATGGAATTTTTTTACACTAACTGACACGGAATTTAACACTTATATCCCCATCGTAAGAGAACATAACAGTGGACATAATTCCTTTATAAATGCTGGAAGATGTAAAAAGTGTAAATAATTTAGTTTCATGTGACTGTTTACACTTATTCCTGTAAAAATTAAAGCTAAAACATCATTACTACACAAATTCAAAGCTGTTTAAAATATGTAAATAAAATTATTAATGATAGGTAAATGAGGAAATTATATATTAAAAAAATATTGTACGAATATTTTCGCAACGATGTTAATCAGATTCAATGCATACAAATTGTGTTGAAATAATTCAGGAAAACATTATAAAATATTAGTGTTAACAAATACAGAACATTTGGTTACAATTAAAATACTTTATTACATTTTTTTTATTGATTTAACAGTGGTAGATGGTAAGAAAAAATAACAGATGATACTTGTTTCTCATAAAAGTGGCTATTTTTTAAATATAATGTAACATTGTTTTCTTTTCTTTTTAAAAAAAAAATTAGGATATTATGTTCTGCTTTCAAGAAAGAAACATATAAAGAACCAAAAAATATAACTCTGGAGTGTCACAAGTACAAAATGCTTCAAAAACCATACAAAATACAATTTTAATAATTAAATTTTTATATTTTAATGCATTTTTAGTAATAATTTTGTATTATTTTATGTATGGAGATGGAAAATGAATAAATTGAACATGCATTTAAGAACATCAAAAGGTAATGCAATGATTAGGACACATATGTGTGGTTCAGTAGAAAAACATTTAATGTTAATATTTGGTAAAAGGTAAAGTAATTAGTTTTAAAAAAAGTCCTAACTTCTATAAAATAGGCAGACTATAGTAGAATTCTATAGAAAAGTATGGAAAATAGATATTTTAAAGTTAATATCATGATATTAACTTACAAGTACTTGCAACATTTTAAAGTAAATACTGCATCTTTGTATGTTCAAGTAAAATTATATAATTTATTTTAATGCATAAAAAAATCCATACAAGTGAAAAATAATCCCAACTTATTAAGTATTCTATGATTCTGTTTGTAAACAAGATTCAAGATATTTCACATTAGTGACTAGTATTCTTTTATTATAGTTTCATAAAATAAAAAGTAAATATATCATACATTTAAATATGGTTTTATGAAATACATTATAAAATGCATTTAAATGTTTTTGTAAAATACATAATGTTATTGAATATTCCTGAAAATAAATGTATAGGAAATGATTGAAATAATTAATAGTCAATCAAACTTTTTAGCCACTACAGTATTTTTTATTTTAATAAATTAAACAGATTTTATTTGATGAACCATATTTGAAAATATAAAATGCTGCAATTATAATTCATGGACACCAAGTTAAATAAATATTAGAAAAAGGGCACAGATTATTCTATACTTTAGAGCAAATCAAGCAAAATATATCCTGCTATCATGTCTGAAAAACCTTATATCTAAACTAAAATTTAAATTGAAAGTTTTTAAAACCTAAAATTATAGATAATTCCTGTTCTATTTATTTCCCATCTCCCTAAGCTATAAAATGTATACTGTAATTGTAATTTGTGTTTTAATGATGGCAAACTGATTCTAATGATAATATACAGAATTATAAATGCTTTTAAAAGCAGCTGTAATGCGCTTTCTTGCTGCTTTTAATCGAATAGGTTTGAATGCAAATTATTTCAAACTATTTTACTCATTCTTAAAAAACTCTTTATAATTTTATATGTATATTTCTAATTTTTACTTCTTATACAACAATAGATTTAAGCTGGTGCATTTATAATTTTACTATTAAAGTTTTAGAAACAGTTTCCATCTATTATTTTACTATATGTGTTACGGTAATATATTTACAATATGTGAGTGTAATTTATGTTCTGAAACATATTTTAATATTTTTTTCTATAACATAAATTTTTTTTATATAAAATAAACACTATATAAAACAAACCCATAAAGGATATTGTTTACTGAATTACAATTCATTTTAAAAATAATGCTTTTTATTAAAGAGTAATTAAATAAAAAGTCTTTATTAAACTCTATTTTATTGTAATTTAATTAAAAGAAAAGAAAAGCAGTATAAAGTATTTAAAAAACATAGATTACATCTGGTGTACGTAATACTCAGTACATATGCATAATTGGCTTTGTTATAATTAGCATATTTCCAGCTTTAATAAATATAAAAAAACTAAAAAAAACTAGAGTTTCTCTCTATTGTTCTGTTATAGTATTTTTAGATGTACAATAAATAACATGTGATGATATATAATTTTAGTGGTAGTAAACTGATTCTCATATTATTAAAAACTCATTTAAAATTATTTTTAAAGAATAATAAATTCTTAACTTTCAAAAGTTTTAGCATGGATTTTCAAATTTATCTATTTAAAAGCTACGAAATGCACACTTAAAAAAATATAGGCATACAATGCTAAACTATTTTAATATTTATTTGGTCAGTAGTGGGACATTTTAATTCATTGACTTTTTTAAAATACATAATTTCCCTTTATGTAAATCATGTTTAAAATTTGAGAAGTAATTTCCATGGATAATTTTTAACCTATAATTATTTTATGTATTTTAACAGAAATTTAACAGTTACTGTAGAATTTAGAAAAATGTCAGAATATTTTAGTTTTATCTTTAATATATATAATATTATTACAATATTGTACTTATATGTGTTTTACTTTGTGAAATAAAAGGACTCAATAATAATAAAAATAATTAATAAGAAGATGCACAGTGTTTTTATTATCCAAATTCATGTGCAGTGCACAAAAAACAAAACCGGACCAACCTGAATAACTTTTGATCTAATAATCCGAGTTTTACGTTCTAGGACTCAAGGTTAATTGTTCGAGGGGGCATATTTTACTATATTTCTCATATTTTACTATACATTCTTACCCGTTTGCATATTTTATCATATTTTGAGAAATTCTAAGCGAATTGAAAAATTTCTGCACACAATCATAAAATTCGTTATTATCATTTTAAAGTAGGTAATTTTGCATGGTAAAATACAAAATTTGACCATAATCAGTTGAATAGTTCTTGAAAATTGAATTTTAAAAAAGTTTCATATTTCAAATTCAATTTCTCACGAACTATTCAATCGGATTTTCTCAAATTTCATATTTCGCCATGCAAAATTACACACATTAAAATTGTTAAAAATTGTATACCTTACAATTCAAATTTTTTGGACTATTATTAAATAGAATAATAAAAAAAATATAAACAAAAACTTATTTTTTATACAAAGTTATCTTTTTTACAGACAGACAAATTTTATAAATGCGTCCAAAAACTTTTACATTCGTTTAATATATTCTTGAGACAAGGCAAAATACGCAAAAAGTAAAATTAACATTAAGGGGTCCAAACTTAGGGCCATTCTCCTGACCAAACTATGGGGACCGTATTTTCTCGATTGCGGTTACTCCCTACATTATGGGCGTCAGAAATCTGAATTCGTTGAACAAGAGATATATCTATTCAGAGAAAGTACGTTTTTGATTTCATAACTTAAAATAAGGCCTGATTTTATTAATTAGCATATATGAGTTGACCCCCTCAAGTCATTAAGATTGACTCCTAGAACGTGAAAATGCGATCATAAGATCAAAAGTTATTCAGGGTGGTCCATTTCTTTTTGGCGCACTGTACTTTGATAATAACACTATGGCAACATGTAAAGTTAAAATTTGATATGCTAGAAATAAGGAATTAATTAGGATTCTTCATGAAAACACAAAATTAAGTAGGAAACTAAAAAATAATAATAATAAAATAAAAAAATATTTTAAAAATTATACATTAAATTTGTAAATACATGTCATTTATAAATGTGTACATAACAATATTTCACAGAACCAAATACAAAACTTACAGATATAACTTAACAAAAAAAGAAGAAAAAAAATAGGTTAAAAATGTTCATTACTTCTATAAATTTTAGAGGAAAATTATAAAAAAAAATGCTCAAAAGGAATTACTTATATGATTTTTTTTCCTTTTAGTATTTTAGTTTCCATTAAAAAAAATCTCAACATTCAACTTCAAGGGCATAGTACATGTTGAAATGTAAATATATCAAAGCCTTAAACATACTTTTTTTTTTAAATTTAAGAGTTATTGCTTCAATGTAAGTCCTATGATTATAATATATATATATATACACACATAAAGATAACTAGGATTTGATTTTTAAAAAAAAATATATATCTTTTAAATAAAAGCAAAACGGTATCTTAAGAAAAAAAAATGTGGAGTGTGGCTGAATTAAAAATTTTCTTTAACTTAAAATACATTGTAACAGTTTTTACTAACCATTAAGCTTTTATAACAAATTTTTCATATTCAATGCTTGAGAGTATTATGAAACAGATTTATAACAAATATATCAAGTTCAAATTTTTTTTTTATCAAAAATTGTGCGGCATTCTAAGTTATCATTCATATTGTTAAATGCTTCAGATGGATAGAGAGGGATGCTGAAGATGGAAAATAAAAATAAATAAAGCTTAAAATGTTTCAGTATTTTTTTTAAATCAATAAAAAAACTTTTTGACCTGTCTATTTTTATATTCTGATGGGTCTCGAGTTTTCTCGATAGTGGGTCTTAAACTGTAACAAAAGTTATGACATTGACAATTAACTTTTACAGGAACTGAAAATCAATTGCTATTTTCTCTTCCTTTGACAGATGAAACTTGATGGCACTTAACAACAGGAAAACGCAACTATAAGAATATTGTAGTTTAAAGGAAAGCAAACTGAATCCTTAAGTTCTAAAACTTAATCAAAATTTGCAAACAGTATCAAAGAAATAAAAAAAATAAAAAATTCAGATTTCAGAAGGCTATTTATCAAAACACTTTTTATTGATGAAAATTTAAAAAGAATATATAAGAAATAGCTTAGAGATGACAATGATTAGAAAAAGCTAATTTCTATTCAGATTATTTTCAAACATATTATGAAACACAATGAGTGAATGCTATACAAATATACACAGAAAATTCAATATTTACAATTTTTATTTTAAAATATAATTAGAAACAGGTAAGGTAGTTACTACTCTATTCAGCAATTGATAAGTCCATGCTTTCATTAGTTGAACTAAGCCTCAGAATGTCATTTAAAATCTCTCTTTCTTCATCCTAGAGTTAGAAAAGAATGCACTGTTTTTACATACTAATCAGACATTTTTTTTAGCTCAGTCATACTCTTCTCAAATATGAACAGTAAAGACAGCTCAAAAATTGTCAAAGCTTGAACATTCAAATATATGATTCACATGAACAGTATAAATTTTCATCAAGAACAGCAAAATATTTACATCAGCAATTGTGAAACAGATTAAAATTAGAACCAGCCCTCTGAACATAAGTTTTGATTTTATTCAAACTTAAAGTTTTTGATTTATCTGCAATGAAAAATTACTTTTCCTCAAGTTATTTAATTAGGAAATAATATGTTACAGAAAAATTCCTGAATATAATACATTTGGATAGTTAAGTAAGAAATAAATTATACTCACAATCAAAAACATTTTTTGAAGCTTTTTAATTACTGATAAAATAAAACATTAGGTTGTAGGATTTCTAATCATGCAATTCCTTCATTAAAAATGAATTTTCTCTTGATCAGAGATGCTTTAGAGATTTTGTCTAAGGTCGAGAACTCTTACAAAACCTTTAAGAGCTGCGAACGTTACTATATTTTCCCCCAAAAATTAAACCTTACAAATCTTTAAAAAAAAAAAAAAAGATTGTGAAAGAGAACAAAATGAAATATTAAATGATTGGCTCAACAATATGCATACGTTTGTATGAGTCATCGATCATGATGTGCTACTTATAGGATTATATACCAGAGGAAATAATTCTTCAAAATTATTAAAATACTTTTACAAACTTACAAAATACATTTTCATTTAGCATTCATTTAAGTAATTCTAGTTGCACATTTTATAACAAGTTCATATTTTTTTATTGGGCTTAAAATTATTATATAAGGCAAAAACTTAAAAGCTTTAAGGGAAAATTTTATGCCTTTATCTTTATATTTTAGAGGGTAGGATATATTTCTGATGATTCTTATTATTGGTATTTTTTATATCCTTGCAGAAGTTTCAAAAATGTTTTAGTAAAAACTTTCGCTTTTATAAAGGAAAATCAAAATTTAAACTATGAGTAGTACCATCAATTTTGAAATTTTCATTTTCTATGTTAATTTACAAAATTACAAGACTTTAACAATTTGACATAAAAATTTCTTTTACAAATTACTTTGAAAAATAAAAATTTGTCAAATAGTTACAAAATTAAAGATCAGGTAGGAAGTAGATTTTATTGATGAAAATTACAACTCGAAAATATTGTGAAAACTATAGTTACTTTAATTTTTTTAAATATAAATAATGCATTAAAAGATTTCATATAGAAAGAAAATTGTGTTTCAAAACAAAATATACTATATATACTATTACTATTTTGAATTTGTGAAAATTCCAAAAAAAAAAAAAAAAAAACCCCGAANCCAAAAAAAAAAAAAAAAGAAACCCTAAATGCAAACTAACTGAAGAACCTTAAAAAAAGCCCATCTCTCGTTTCAATGACAGGAACAGATAGTCAGAGGCCATTGATTGATTATGTTGTGTGGAACAAATGTACTAAAAGAGTGTAGTAGTGTAATTTTAAATTGACTGGATTTGACTCAAGAAGTATTTTAAATAGCATGAATGTGAATCGAGACATATAATTTTAAATCGCGTGAATACAAATTGCGATATGTAATTTTAAACCATATGAATATTCAATTGCGAAATGATTTTTAAATCCAGTAAATTCAATTTTGAATTGCATTTATATAGGTACGAAAATTAGTAAAAAACGAATTTTATTTTTCAGAAGTTTGAAAAAAAGCAATATTTTCTTTGAAAAAAATAGAACTTATTTTTTTAATTATTATTTCTTTTTTAAAAAACATAGAGTAGAATTCTGCATAAAATTTGAAAAAACTCATCCTTGAAAACTATTGCAACTATGCTTTCTGTTTCAAAGTTACTCAAATTTTACCAAACCAGCTTCACTATTTACCAAAAAAAATGCTAAGAAAATAATTATGGTGTTGTCCAAATAAATAACATTCCATGAATTTTTTACAGTCATTAAATTTAAAATCATTGTAAGCAATCTGGCATTGTCTCAGTAATCAAATTGAAAGAAAAAAAAAGATTAAACATTTATTAAAATCAGAGGATAACAGTCAAAGCCATTAAGTTTCAACAACCCAGATGAGACTAAAAAGCTGGAAAGACTTCCATTCAGATGGAGTGCTGACATTGAGAAACATTTGAAAACATTAAAAGTGACTCAGTGGAAACAACATGCATCTTATAAACTTCGATGGTAAATAAACTTGTTGAGGCAATCCTTGACCTATAGAGCCAAGAACTATAAAATCTGATTTAACAAATGAAATGTAAAATAATTAAAAAAAAATAGAATCTATAATACAATACCTTCTCAACAAATGTTTTCAGCGTTTTAGCTGTCTCCAGAATACTCTCAGCTAAGACATTCCACACACGAAAATCATACTGTGATAACATTGTGACTGATTGTACGCCATCCTGCACACAAACATGGCGTAATCGCTCACTGGAATCTTGATTATTTTGTTCTGGCACATTTAAAACTCTTTCATTATGTTTCTGAACATCTAATATTAATCGATTCACAGCCTCTGAAGTTCTTGCTACAGACACTAAATAGCCTTTATCTAAAATAGAGGAAAAATACAGAGTATCGTATTAGAGGTATAATAGCTAATTGTTTCCTAAACATAAATGTAACAATTCTACATAAATAAACTGATTTCTTGCATTGTGCCAACTTATATAAGTATTTCAAATAGAAATTCATTCAAATTTTACCGAGTATCTCAAAAAAGAAATAAATATAAACAATTTAGTTGTAAAATAACTACCATTTATAGTAACTAATCAGAGGATAAAATTAACGAATCCCTACAGCGAATATTTCAAGGAAATTAGCCTAACATACAGCAGAAAAAATTTATTTATTTTCCAGTTAGCAGTGGTATCTACTGATGTACTTTACGACTAATTTTTAAATTTGAGGAGAATAAATAGCTGGTTTTTTAATCAGCAAATAGCACAATATTTACTAGTTCCAGTTTTCTGATGGATTTTTCCAATTTACAAAGATCTATGTTTATAAAAAATGTTATATACTTCAGTGGTTCTTTTCTTGTAAAAATAGAGTTTCAATAATTTTCAAAATCCTGCCAAAAAGAGCATTAAAATAAACTAGCTTTATATTTAAAAAAAAATTTATGAAGCTGGTAAGTTTTAATTATAATAAATTTATTTTTGGCAAGAATATTGCAACTTGTTTTACATTTATTATTTTGACATTGATGATTTGAAGTAATGGTAAATTTTTTCACCTCAATAAAAGTATTTCAGTTTTTTTCTTTCAAGATTTTAATATCAATTTTATTTGAATAAATAGTACCATTTTTTTAAAATAGTTTCACTTTTTATTATTTACCTATTTAAGTATAAAAAAAGATGGAATAGAAAAAAAAGTACTTTAAAGAAAGAAGTTTAAAATATAAGTGCATTAGGCTAAACATTTTATTTTAACACTTCCTTGATATTAAAGATCGGGGCATAAAAAAATGTATCATTAAAATATTATTTTAGATATGAGTGCATTTAAATTAAATTTCTTAAGTATGTAAAACTAAGGTGTCTAAATAACAATGAATAACAGACAATTAAAAATGATATTGATGTAACCAATTTTGTGTAGAATCTTATCTTAAAGGCTATATCTAGTTAGGAAGTTATTAAAAACTAATTTAAATCCATTGCTAAATGTGACTAGAAATGTGACAATAAAGAAGGGTTGAACTGACAATGGTAATGATGTCACAAAATATTAATTTTTCACATATAAGTGAAATTATTTCTGCCTTACAATTTTAATGCTTGCAAAATAAGAAAAGAAACACATTTAAATAAATTAAACGCTTATTGTATACATGCATTTTGATAGTAAATGTAAAACAGAAAACAGATTAAACCAGTATAAAAGAGTTAGTACTGGAGTTGCCAAACTGTTGTTGATTCCAAGTGGTACTTTAAATAATTCTGATATTACTTAAAGTCGCTGCTCTTTATTAGTTTTTGTTAAGTTATTTTATTTTGGCTAGGTTATAATATTTATCATAACTTGATCAAAATAGGGCACTTGGTAAAATTTAGCAAACATATACACAGGCATGTATGTGTTAAAACATATTTAAAGCAGTAACACTTATTTATATTGTAAATGTTTTAATATTTAAAAGTAATTTAATATTCATAAGTAATATTCATTGTTTCCCTTAAAACAATAATTTTCCACACGCTAATTCATTTCCAATTAAAATTTAGTGAAATATAAAAGATTAAAATAGTTTAAAATATAAATAAATAAAAATAGTAAAATTTTTACCTGCTATATTAATTATTTACCTGTAATAACCCAATCTTTTCTCAAAAGTCCAGAACTTAGGAGAGTGTTGTAAGCTTCAAAGTATGAATGAATTGATAATACTTTAGAATTGAATAAGCTGTCTTCAATTTCAAGGTTGCTGACATATTCATAAAAAAGAGGTTTAAACTCATTCCATTTGTTAACTGCATAATAAAATAATAATAATCATTTAATACTTAACGGTCTTACACATTTCATCAAGTGAAACAAATTTTAAAGTAATATTTTCTAATAATTATTTTTAAAACAATTAGGCATTTTCAAACAGTTAAAAGAGTTTGAGATACTAATTTCTATTTGAAACTCGTTAAAAACAGTTATGTGAACTTGAATATTCACTACATTTTAAACTGATAGGAACAACAGCTGGGAGCTTTTTTTTGTGTGTGTATTATCTTTTTCTTGTGTGTGTATTATCTTTACTATATTGTTAAATTAACTAAATTACTTTTTTATGTTTGGAATTTTAAATCTCTTCATTTCATCCTTCCTTTATTTGTGATTATTAAAATATATATAATTGCTTGAAAAATTATTTTTTGAAAATAGTGGGAAATGAAACAGCATTCAGATAAAATTCTCTCAAATTAAAGAAAATTAATAAATGTTAATAGAAAAATTAAAATATAAATTTGAAATAATACTAAATAAATAAATTTGAAAAAAAAAGAGTATAAAAAATCATGATTAAAATACTAATTTTATTTATTCAAATGAAAATTTTTAAAATTAAAATCAGTTTTTCCACCTAGAACTGTATAGTGTAAATATAAAAAATATTTAAAAGTTAAATTATTATGTCTTTATTGGATTTTTATACAAAGTCTACATGAATACATATTTGTTAGTTAATATATAAGTAGTTATGCAATTAAGAATTATCTCATTAGTAGCAGAGTAGACAAAGTTGGTCAATTGATAATTTTTTCCTTCAAAAATCAGAGAGTGATTTTTAATTAAAAAAATTAAGTATTTACAGCCCCTGTTTAAATAGCTGAAATCAATCATTTGATTTAGATTCTCTACCAAATCTAACTCTTAAATAAACATGCGAAATAAATAAATCAATAAACATTAATTATTTTTTTCAGTTTGATAATTAATTATTTAGAGAATCAAAAGCTGCATAAATATTAACAAGTTTTTTTTTATTATGAAAGAAATATATTCAGTCAGTACTTAATGAATTCAATTTGATATTAATACTAAATATTTTTTGTTATTAATTAATTAATCACATTTTTTAAGATTATATATTATTTTGCTATTGTTTTACTGAAAGTCAATTTAAATAAAACCTATAAATATGGAGTAAAAAAGTTTCATAAAAAATTATTGATTCACATAAAAACAACAATTAAAAAAGATAATAAAATTTTTTCATAAAATAATCACCAACAAATAAGAATAGAATGATTACAAAAAACTAGCTGCATGTATGAAAAATCAAGCACTGAGTAGGTAAATGTGATTAAATATATGCATAGTGTCTAGAAAAACAATTATATATGACTATATTTACTAGATATTTTTTATTTAAGGAGTATAATGAATAGTTGAATAAATAGTTAAAAAAGCAATTGTAAAAATAACATACTTTATTAAATTCCATATCTTTAAACAATTTTTCTAGTTAAAAAGTTTTAAAAGTTGCGTTAGGAAAAGCAGAATTTAAAGACAAAGGAATCACAAAGTAAATTAGTTCAGTTAGTGAGTAATACATGCAATTAAATAAGGGGATTTTCAAATTTGAGGTATTTTTGAAACTGAAATGTTTTAAAAATAAAATTAAAATTGATCATTGTTGATGATTTTTGCATATAATCAGCCTAAAGATTGAATAAAAATTTAGATCTGTGGGGATCTTATAAGTCATCATTAAACTAAATACATTAACAGGTGAGAGACTTGACAATTTTATACAATTTCTTTACAACCATATGTAAACTTTTAAAGCTTAGGACATCATGGCTCAAATACGGTTCATAAACTTACTTTGTATATTACAAGTAATAAATGAAGCTTCACTAATTAACTTTTAAAAGCTGATGATAGACCAGGCAAAAATAAACAAATAAAATTTACCAAGCTTTTGAAAATTCAAAAATAATCTTTCATTTCAAGATTTCCTTTAAAACGATTTCCATACGGAATAATGAAAGCTATATTGAAAAGTGGTTGCATCATTTACTGAATAATTTTAAAATTGATCTTAATTTGAAAATTATCTTTGGAAACACACCCGACAGGAAAAGATCGAAAATTTCTGTCGGACAACACAAAAAAAATTAGTAAAAATTATTATAATTTAAAAAGAAATTCAAAGATGTCTTCTAGATTTACAATACAATGAATTTTTCAGAATTTATTAGTGATTTGAAATTATTTTTCATTTTGGACACTGGGAAAATATTTTTAAAAAAATTTGGCTTTGTCGTTTCAAATAGCTTATTTTTTAAGATTACTTTTTGTCAAAGATGTATAGAATAAAACTGAAAAATTTATATAATTATTATACATAATAACTCTTAATTATATGAATTTTTGGAAATTACAAACACCTAAGTCAACAAGATATTAAATTTTATAATAAAAAATTTTCTTTTGTCAGTCATCAAAATGCCTCAAATTTGAAATCCAACTATAATTGAATAAATAAAAAGAAATAAACAGCAATTCTCAAAAGTAATAATACAAATTTAAATCTATTTTAATACAGACAAAACCTTACCAAATTTTTCTACATTCAAAGAATACTGGCATAACAAATTCAATATACAGAAGAATTTATCCAAACACTCTTTCTTTTTTCTAAAAATAAACAATAATAATAAAAATACAAAATAGTAAATAGACCTATAACATAAATATAAAACATAAAAAAGTTTAAGAAAATAAATTAATGATTTAACCATTATGAAAAATCAGTCTTTAACAAGAATAAGTAAAAACAAATAAAAGTCGAGATAATAAGGATTTGTCATTAAAAAACGTCTTAATAGATTAAAAGTTAATACAAATTCATCAAATCGATAAGAAATTTAGAGTTTTGTATTAAACCAGATAGATTGAGCCCAGTTTAAAGAATGGCGTTGGGTTAAGACAACTGTATCAGCAGGTTAATTTGATTACAAGAAAAATGCATTAGTCACTATTAAATGTTATGTTTTTATAAAAATTTACTTTTAAACGATATGTAACACATAGCATAATATTTTGAAAAAATACACTCATTTTTATGATCGGCAAACATTAAAATTAAGACTGCTGGTATTAGTATCATAATATAATTGATACATAGATTCATGTGAAAATAAATCAATGCTAATAAAATATGCTATATATATGATACTATATTATAACCCTCAGAAAAAATCTTGTAATTGAAGAGGATTTTGATACACTTTTAACAGATCAAAATTTCTCTACCGCTTACCTTCCCACATTTTAAATGGTGTGTGAATGAAATGCAACAAAAAGGCACAACCCACCCTTCTCATTTATAATAAAATTGCTAGCAAGACTTGATTAATTCTTAAACTACCTCCTGACAACTGTTACAAGCTGGAAATGGATAGGGAGATTCCACATAAGTGACCATGTATTTTATTCTAACCTTCTTCACAGAAAAATGGAAATTCCATTCTAGCTGGTGAAACATGTATAAGCGGGTTAGTTGATTATCTGATATGCAATTAAGTAGAGATGACATAAGAAAATTAAATAATCTTTAAAAAGTGATAATTATGTCGTAATTATTAATTACTTTAAACGAATTATTAATACTGAATATGTGGAAAGTATAGACATTATGAAATATGCATAATACTACACAAAGACACTTACAATAACTGTTGACCAGAAACAATGAAAGCTTCCAAAAATGAATCTTGTCCCAATAGTTCAGTGTAAATAATATTTTCAGAAAAAGTGGTCTCCAATAAATCATACACAGCTAGTATTACAGAGCCTAAGGAGGAACTGATAAGTTACTCAAGTATATTAAAAAATAACATACACTATAAATTAAATAAAATAAAAATTTAAACCAATTTATTTAAAAGTAGCTTAAACATAGACAGTCTTCTGAAAATTACATATTATTTGCTGTTTTAAGTATTTGTTTGACATTAATGCAAAAGAGGAAAAAAAAAAACCAGCAGGGATACCTTTTGAAGTGTTCATCATAGATATAATTAACAGAAAGACTATTTTAAGTGGATTTTTTTTTTACTCAGATCAGAATATATCAGTTAAGCACTGATTCCTAATATAATTTCAGTTTTTTTTTAAGGGGAGGATGACTAATTTTAAACAATTGGTGATCACTAAAAAATGATGGGTTATCATTTAAAAAAAAATATATATATTGGTCTAATAATCTTGAGTAAGCTTATTTCAGATGTCTCATTAATTATATAGGTTTAAAACTAAACAACTGCTATAAGTAAAGTTATTTTAATCTAATATTTAGAAATTTATAGTTGAAGACATTACATATTTGGAGGGAAATATATTTAAAAATACAAAATTAAACTTGGAAATGGAAGAAGTGATTAAAATGACTCATAGTGAGATATATTTTTAAAGGAATGATAATCCAAGTTTTTGAAAGGATTAATAGATAAACTTTTACTGTAATATAAAATGAAAGAAACTATTCAATTATATGATTTATGATAGAAATTATATATCTTATCCATTTTAACCATAGGAAATTTGTAAGAACTGGTTCACCAAGAATCAGATTACATATAATAATTTTTTAAATTGCTGAGTAGTTACAACTTCAAAAGGTCTCAGTTGCTTATGAATGATAAGTTTAATGAAAAACTGAAGATGAATTCTAGATCAGCATTAAGAATAAAAGTTGTAGTACTGATTTTCAACTGCAATAAACATTACAAAAGGTTTCTTTATAAGTTTATAATAATTCTTAACACAGTCAACTATTTTTAATTGAACCTAAGGAAAATTGTTTTAATTTTAGAATTAAATTTCGAATGAGGGGGATTTTTTATTTTAAGGGAAGTTTTTTAGTAAGGGGAATTTAACACAATTTGTTATGACACCCAAGAGATTTTTATTCACTGTAACTACCTCATAATCACAAAAAAAAAAAAAAAAAAAAAAAAAAAAAAAAAAAAAANAAAAAAAAAAAAAAAAAAAAAAAAAAAAAAAAAAAAAAAAAAAAAAAAAAAAAAAGACAAATTGTCAAGTAGTGTCACACACACACACTAACATTTAACCCCGCGCCTATGCCCCTAAAAGGGCATTTATCGGTTAATGGTTAAGGTTGGAAGACGAGACAGATAGAAAAAAGAGAGGAAAAAATAGCAAATAGAAACAAAAAAGAGAAGAAAATAAAAAGAAATATGAAAAAAAAGAAAAAAAAAGAAGCGATTATTCTATTTGTTAGGGCATTTGATTAAAAAGTATCCAGAGCTAATTGGCCAAGTTTAGTTGTGGTTGTTGCTCAATATTGCATAATTTTGTCATTTTTTCATGAAAATTATTTCAGGATTTCCTCGTATTCTTCTAGAAAATTAATGAGGTTGGTTGCCTTCTGTTTCAACTTTGTATTCTTACAGATGGATCTCTTCCAGGCTATGAGGAATTCTAGCTTCGGTTGTTTAAAGTGGTAGGATGTGGTAAGCGGACATTCTATTGCATAATGCCACACTGTTCCTACTCCTCCACAGGCACATGTATTGTCAGTTGCCAGGCAGAATCGCTTTAGATATGCTTTAAAGGAGCCATCAAGTAGTGTCATGAAAGGAATGACAGCATGGACATTTAAGTCCATGAAAGGAATGACAGCTTGACTATCAATATGCTAAAATAATTTAAAGTTACAATGAATAAAAATAGGCAAGTCTAATAAAAAATAACAAGAAATTGTAAAGATAAATTAAATTTTAAATAGGAAAAAATATTTATCACATATTTAGTTAGTTATCATGGCAAGTTCAACTTTAGAATGTGACACAATTTTCCATACTTGACAAGTTTTATATTCTCTAAAATTTAAAATGTGTTAGTAATTCTTTATAAATAATTTCACTTGTTTTTAGTAAGTTCAATAAGTTTTTAGAAATCCAATGTTCTCTATTTATTTCCTCCCACACTAAAGAAAAAACAAATGTGAGACTTCTTTGAGAGTTTTCTCTTCTTTTCTCATTTAAGCTTTTATATGCGTCAAGTATTGACATAATGCATTTCACAGGATGATAACAAGAAATTATGAACTATGATGATTTCTTATTCTATGTACAACTTTAGATTCACCAACTTGCAAAAATAAGTAACTGCAACTGTATTAATATATTGCAGCACACAAACTTCCTAGAACAAGCAATGAATTGAATGGAATAAAGTATTCAATTCAGTATGGATGTCATTTGTTTATCAACCTGGTTAATTCATATTAAATAACATTAGAGCAGTCATATTATTTAAAAGCCATGAATTTTTTTCTGATTTACATGAAAAAAGGGCTTTTATAACCCAAAACAAAACAAAGCTTGTTATTTGTAAATTTGTTAAAGAACAAGTTTTATTATTAAGACCAGGAAATGATGTTAGTTTGAATTATTCAATATTTCATATTATCTGTTTTTGAAACTTAAAACAGCTGACTGTATTAAAAATCAATATAAAGATCGTAAGCACACGGAAATAATACCATTTCGGAAAGCTATTATGAAGATTTTTAAAAACTAGCAAAGAGTTTCATTCAATGACACTTTCTAGTAATGCAGACTCAGAAACAGGGACAAATGGAATCATAAATGTCCAGAAGGTTATTTGCAGAGCCACTACTAAAAAATAAAAAATATGTATACATTTGTTTCACAGATAACAAATAATAATTCTTTAAGCAAAAATAACATTTATATATTATATAAATGTCAAGTACTGTATATCCCAGTGTATGCATCAACCCCTACTTTTTAATGCTGAGAAAGCAAATTTCAGGTAAGTTGAGTTTATAAGTTATCTCTGAAAAAACCAAATATGAAAATTTCTGAAATTATAAAACGTAAATAGTAAGTCTACAAAATTTTTTCAGGTAAAAAATATTTCACATTGTTTTCACTGGATATGATACATTTGCCCTCAATTAACGATCTTTTAAAAACTGTGAAATTTTTAATTTTTTAAATGAGGAGGAAGACAATTTTTGTGGGACTCTAGCAGATGAAGAGGAAGTAGAATCCATCGCTTAATGGAATTACTTAAGACAACACTGCTAACGTTATTAAAACAGACACAGATGACGTTTCTGAAATCTTCAAATTTGTAGCTTTATTTTAAGTTTGAAAAGTTTTCATTGTGTTGTATTTTTGAAATACTCATAAATAAATTAATTTTTATAATTCTTAATTTTTTTGGACATAATTTAAAGTACTGGTTCTAAAAAAACCTGCAAATATAAAGTAAAATGTGAGAGAAAATGCATAATTAATTTTATATAACATATTAAAAATAGTTTTTGAAAGGGGTAAACTGATACAGTATTTATATCCATCTCATTGTTTTTAATTCATTGATATTTCAGGATCAACAAACGTCCGAATTTTAGTATACAAGCGACTTTGTAAAATTTGGTGTATTTAAAAAGTTGACTAATACAACGGGATATACGGTAGTCATATTAAAATTAATAATGTTACCAAATTAGATTAACCAACCAAGAGTTTTACATTTGAACAAGTTTGTACAGAAATTTATTTATATTCATTGACTTATTATTTTAAAGGAGGTTTCTTAGCAGAAAACACAAATGGACTGCTGTCTTTTGGTATCACAAACACTCAGTTGGTTAAATATTGATTAAGCTAACATATTTTATAGAATGAAAAGGTTTCTAAATATGATAAGAGCATGCCTTTTTTGTCAACTACATTTAACACTTTAAACAATCATAAAATTAAAATGAATAATTTTATTACTGATCACTTGATAACTTTTGGCTTCTAATAGTTTAATTTTCTATAAAATTCATAAAAAATTAATAAATAAAATTTGTAAATCTAATATTTAGATAAAACTAATCAGATGTGATCCAGTTCATAAGATTGTTTGAATGTAGAGATTAAGAGCTGAAATTTAAAACACAAAAATTTAGTAAGCGAACTATACACAACAGGGTTTGTTGATTTAAATCAGCTTGATTTAAATCAACTGATATTTTATACCAGGGTTGGCAAGATTTTGCCACAGGTGGAAAAAACCATGGTAAATACCGGTAAAAANAACAGTGTTTTAAATTATTGATACTTTTATTATTTTCTTTTTTTAGTTTTAAAATTTATTTTAAATGAAGTGCTGCATTAATTAATTTTAGTTATCAAAATTACTTTCTGTCTTGATGTGTGATAAATCCAACACATTTGAAATTACCTTTTTAAAAATCTTTTGATACTTGAAATTGAAAATACAGATTAAAGTAAACATTCAATGCTGTCTTAATATAGACTTGCATAGCTGTAGAAAGTAATTAATAAACATGAATTTTTTCAACATTATATTTTATTGGTGGAAAATGTATATTTATAAAGCTTGACGTTATATTAAAAAGAAATTACCCTAATATGCCAAAAATCGAAGAAAAAAAAATGCTGAGAGATTCAGACAGTTTTTTCCTGATATAGTGTCATTCTTCCTCTTCAAATTCTTTCAAAGTCTATTCAAAGCAGTAGGGATATTAACTGGTAACAGGGTGCATGTTTACAGTATCTTCGTCAGACTTTCTATTTCATTACAGATTTTTTATAAGAAATTTTGTGAAAAAAAATTCCAATGGGCACATAGATTTTTAAAATTTTTTTTTAGCTTATCTATTTTGATATAGAATTAAAAATAAATATTTTAATATTAAAATATATAGATTAAATATTTATTTTTTGATGAATGACTAAACAAAATCTGTTACATTTATAAAGTCTTTTTAATTATAAATCAAAGTTCTTACAGTGTATTTGAATGAAAATCAAAAATAATCTGATTTAAATCAAAAATAACTGATTTAAATCAAAAAAATCTGGCTTTTTTGATTTTTTTTAAAAAATCAAAAAAATCACAAACCTTGTACACAACTAATAAAGAAAGAAGGGTATATCAGAAATATTTTTAACTGATAAACAAATTAATAGCTTTAACTTACTGTTTAAACTGTTTGAAAGAATATCTTTCACATTAACCTTGAAAAAAGATTTTTCTCCATATGCTTCAGACCATAAATTTTTAGAATTTTCATGTTTCAGACCATTTACAATTAACCTAAAACAAAAAGCTTATAAAATTATGAAATATGGAAAAAGAAAAACTGATATATTTCAATAAAATTTTATGGTTAAAATTTAATCTATAATTTTTATCAATATTTTGAGTATCTAATATGGGAAAAAAGTACATTCCATTAATTATAATTAAATGCAACTTTATAGTTATTTAACAAAGAAACAAATACTCAACACACCTCATTACTTGTATCAGTGTTGGACTATCAGATGTTCCAGATAATAACAGAACAGATGACCTAAACATATAATTATATTATTAGTTAAGCACATAATAAAATAAAACAGTTTTTTTAATTAAAAACTAAACATCAGAAAAACAAAGTAAAAATTTAATAATAATTTTGAGGAAATTAATTTACTTTAAATTATAATTTAATCAGTTTAACCAAAGTATTTGGTCTTCTTATTTATTTTAGAAACAATTTTAACTCCATTTTTATCTAAAATAATAAACACTTTAACTTGTTCAGACTTAAAATAACTTTTGAAAATAAATAAAATTGAGTAGTTTTCAAATGTTTCTTTTTGTAAAGAGTTTATCAATAGTCATTATTTTACTTATATTTTGCTTCACAGAACTTTCATTAGGCTTTTATTGACAAACATTACAGAAAAAGTTTGTATCATGAATTTTTATAACATAAAGAAAACAAACAGAACATAGATTATTTTTAATCAATATTTTATTTTGGGGAAAGGTTTTTAAGTTAGATTTAAAAGTAAGATAAAATTTACACTGAATGTAAAGTATCTCACTTAGCAGGGATAAGATTGGCCAAAAGCTGAATTTCCATGTGAGTAAATTTTACACGTGTGCAATCCTTTAATAATAAATTCCTGACAATTTAAGATAAACAAAAATTGCTATTTTAGATCGAAAAAATTGCATGATAATCAGCAACTGTTTAGATAATTATTTTTCATATGATTAGAATTTCGCATTTTATATCATAAATAACAGCAGCATTATTTCTTAAATTTTGGTGCTGAGTTAATCAACTCTTTTTCCACAAAAAATTGAATAATTTTTTAAGTGATTGCTTTTGTTTACTATATCTTTTTTTCTTCTTCTTTTTGCTTAATTTGCTGAAAACGCTTCATGTTTTACAAAACAAGTAAAAAATCCTTTAAAAAGGTCAAATTTCTCATAATGCAGCTTGTGATTGAGGGGAAACAGATTGGTGATTAATTTAGTCGTTAGCCCATCTTCAAACAGCTTTCCACAAATCCTATTTTTTCTTTCTTTACCTGACTTTGTCACATTCTTCTTTGCAAGCACAGAATGCAAGTTCTGAATATGCATACTAATAATTGTTGATAGAAAAACAGTCACATTTATAGTAACTAATTTAAAAAAAACCTACTTTTTACAAGAATTGCGATAATTGATTTTAAACTCGTGTGAATACGAATCGTTACATAGGGTTTTAAAAACGCGTAAATACAAATAGTGATATTGGATTTTTAAATCTCGTAACTAAGAATCATATTGTAGTATATTCAAATCGCGTGAATAAGAATCGAAATGTTAGCAAATTCTGGGCTTGAGACTTTTAAAAAGTTCGTTTGAAGCAGCGACGTTTGAATTACGAAAATAGGAACTATCTGGCGAGCGGGTAAAAATGAGAAAAATTGTATCTTCTGTGCGTAAAAGTGGCGAAAATAGCTAAAATGTGGAAGGATTGACAGATATATAGGTTGAATTTTCTGTTTATCTTTGAAAATCGGAAATGAATATAATTATTTTATTTCAACGTCTAAATTTTTCAAAAAAGCAAAATATTTATTAAAAAAAATTTTTTTTTTAAAAAGTTAAACTTTTAGATAATCAAGAGTTTTTGATAAAAAGGCTGATATTCAAGACACAAAAGTAAAAAAATCTCATCCCTGACTTAGTTACAATTTCTTAAATTTAAAAACTGTTTCATACACCATTTTTATAGCTGTCTATATGTAATGTTATAATTTTTCGTTTTAATACATATAATTTTAGCGCCAAAGGAAAAACTCATCTAATTAGTTCCAAACTATTCCTTTAGAAAGAGATTGACTTTATTAAACTCTTAGATTATATATTCAAGAGAAAAAAAAGAAAAATTATTAAAAAATCTACTTAATTTTTTTTATATGAAAGTCTTCGTTTCTAATGAACAATTTTTATAACTTTGAAAAATGATAAAAACAAATTTGAATCGAAGATTGAAGAACAGCTCAGCTTTATAAAACTTTTCTGTAAAAACAGAGTATTTAGGATTTTAAAGTTAAAACATTTTTAATAAATACACCATTACTAAAAACAATTCTTGGTTATTTTTCCTCAAAACCTTTTTGAACAAATGATTTTCTTTGAAAAATAGCTACAAAAAAATATTGTTTAAAAAATTCACATCCAACCATCACTTACATTAACATTTTATTTTCCAGTATAATACTGCAAAGGGGTGGAAAAGTTGATAGATTAGCCATTATGCCAACAATAATCTCCTAAAAACATACATATTTTTAATAAGCATCACTAACTAAATTTGGAAATAAAATAACTGAACTAGACTATACCAAAACTAAGCAAACTAAATTTTTAATGATATTTAAAAAAAAAAATTGATCTGAAATAAAACATCAAGTAGAAAAATAAACAAATAAAACCAGAAAGTCAAGTGAAAATATAGGGTGTTTAATTTTAAACTGACAATACCCAGAGGCTCCTAACTACAGTGTTAATGATTGAATCTGCATGAAACATTAATAATGTAATAAACTTTAAATGCATGTTAATTAAATTGTAGAACCGAAATTTAGGCTGAAAAAAGAAATAATTTGAAGTTCATCAATAAATGGAGTTGTAAAGCTATTTCCATTTATATGCACATAGAGCACACAAGTATGCAAGCTAATGAAAAATTCTGTTATTTTTTGAATTGTTATCTTTCTTTTTATTACCTTGCTCTCTGATGTCAAAATTTCACACGATTTTTTCTTTTTTTTAAAGCCACAATCGTGACTTCGTGATCTAAATAATATACATTTGAAGTTTCATTTGGATCCATTCAGTAGTCGTAGCTAGGAGCCTCTGAGTACAGAAAGTTTAATTTTAACCATCTTGTAGAATAAAACAAAAAAGTCTAAGAAATCATATTTATAATATTAAAAATTTGTAACAGTTTAAGAAGTCATATTTATAAAATTAAAAATTTGTAACAGTTTAATTTCTTTCTTAATCTATAAACTACAGCTATACATTTTTTTGAGCACAATATATTTTGTTAGTATATGACAAATAATTAAGACACAGATAAGCTCCAAAAACCAGAGTTCTTTGCTATCCATACTTTGTTTGCCATAACAGTCATTCCAAATGAGGAATTAAATTTACTTTGTTTGCCATAACAGTCATTTCAAATGATTAATTAAATTTCAAAAGCATAAGTTCAAGCTATATGTTTAAACAAATTTAAAGACAAACTACCTAAAAATGCCCATAAAATACTCAAAAATTAAAAAAAAACTTAAACATTTACATTATTAAAACCACTGATAATCTTTGATCAAGAATGGTATGCATGAATATGTTAGGCTTAAAAATAAAATATAAATTATTTGGTAGCACACACATACAAAAATATACTACAAAGCATTTTCTAAAAAATATTTACATCAACAATGCCACATATTACTTTTTATCAATAATACTATAAAAGAATACATAAAATTTAAAAATAAAATTTTATCCCGAAAAATTTCTGTTTGTAATAAAGAATTTGCTAGATTTGTCCTTAAAAACTAACCAAAAAAATATAAATAAATAAACAATAAAAAAAGAGACACGAAACAACTGTTACTACTTTTAAAAGCAATTATTTATTTTCATCATTTTTAAAATAAGCAGAAATATTAATGAAAAATGATGGATGAGGATTTATCGAATGTAATTATTGGAATTTGTCGCCATATATATTAAATAATACATATTAGTTTAAATATTTTAAGATGCAGATGAAAACCTAATTTGTGAAGTAAAAAACATCTTAGTTTCTGAAAAAAAGATACACACAATGATGAGTTTTAAAAATAATTTAAACACCTAAGTATTAAATAACGTTTATTAATTTAATGACTTATTAAGTGTCAGTGTAAAACTAATGTGTTGAATTATATATTTTACAATTTAAAAGCAATTGTCATTACCAAACAAATTAAGAGGATAAAATTTTTATCTACTGGTAGTCCAAGAATGATAAGTAAAATTACAGAATTATAATCAATATGATTCTATAATTTCAACCAAAAATTAGGAAGAACTTGCATCTGTTTTACTGACCAATAATCGTGGACTTTGTGTTTTTTCTACAACATCTAAAAATATCCCACATATTCCAGAATCTAGTAGGAACTTGCCGACTTCCTATAGAGAGATGAAGAAACAGGTTAAAAATAGAAAAAATATTTCATCACTATTTTAATATTTTTTACTAGATAAAAGTGAAAGTTAGAAAAAAAATAACTAAAGACTACAAAGAATAAAAATATACAAAATGTTTCTATCCTTTTTGCATTAATAACTTTTTCTTCTTTCCTTTTTGTGCTATAAACTTTATAAAAAAACTTTATATGAAGTCTGTAGCAGAAGTAAAAATTTAGAAATTATCCAGAATCTGGAATGCCTAGGGCAAAATAAGGAAATTTTACTACTGGCCAATTGTAGCATTTTTACCCGTAACCCATTTTTAATATTTAAGCAACTTTTACAGAAATTTAAAATAGTTTTAAAATAGTTCCAAAAAAACTTAATCTGAAAAATGTCAAGCATTTCTCAAAATATGGTAAGCACTACAAGGTACATTTCGAAAATGAAGAAAATTTTCAAGTAACAAGCCTGAAATAGTAATTTTCAGATCATTATAAAATATTAAAAATTCCATTTATATACAGTGAAACCTCCTGTAATGGACACTCCTGCAAAACGGACGCCTCTCAATACGGACATATTTTTAATTCTCCGGAAATCTTCTATGAATAAACCATTACGTACATTCTCCGCAAAGCGGACACTCCCGTAACCGGACGCGGACAGTCATTTTGGTCCTGAAACGTTGTTTTTTATCTCTACAAACCGGACACTACTTTTTCTAAATAAATTGCAAGCTAAAAAAATTCAACTTTTCACCATTTTTAAAGCATGTAAATAAAACTTTTTGCCTTATCCATAACTAAAAATATTGTTAAGCTATTTCACCACCGAAAAATCAATCTTTCTTTTCTTGGATTTACACGAAATGAAGAAAGCACCTTTTCATCTTTCATTGGCGATGAGTTATAGTCACATCGGAAATCATCGTGTGAGCACATCGTTACTTGACAATTCGCGAAGGAAGAAACACAAGGGGAAAGATCGTCTAGTCACATCGGAAATCATCGTGTGAGCACATCGTTACTTGATGCTTCGCGAAGGAAGAAACATAGGGGAAAATATCGTCACGACAATCGATGTCGCCGCATGATCGGGGGAAAATGCTCATCGCGCGTGCTTGCGANTAAGAACGCATAGTTTTGCGTGTCCTTTTCATCATAATGTGATCCTGATAAGCTGTGCCGGAATTGTCCGGAGTCTTGTCCATTCCCCTCCCGTAGGGAGCTTGGACGTCAACTGTTAGCAATGCCAGCCTACATTTAATAAACCTGTTTAGAACGTCTGATGGCTTATGACTGCAATTATTTCAAGCTAAATACAACACTAATAACAGGGTTGGAGCCCTGTTATTACATATATATATATATGCACATGGGGAGCATTTTTGACAAAAAAAAAAAGAAGAAGCTAGCAAGTGGCAAACAGATTTTTAATAGCCATATTTTAGTACATTGCAGCAGGTGTCAACAGTTGATTTTGCACTACGTCAGAAGATTTAAAAAAAAAAAAAAAAAGGTTTAAAATAGGAAGCATTTTATTTAAAATTTGTCAAAAAATAAGTAAGCTTTTGTAACAAAATGTATAATTTATTGTTTAGTAAAAAATACAACAAAAATTAATTCAATACTCTGATAAAAAAATATAAAAAAATAGCCAATGTTTTGAATAGCAATGGTTAATTTAGAAACAGTAGATTAGATAACAGATAACCAAATTTAAAAATAAATAAAAAATCTAGTGAAGGGATATTTTATAACATAACTAACCTTAATAGTAACAACAAGATTTTAATTGGAAATTCTCTAATATTACAATCATAGTGAGAAGTTGATTTCTCTTGAGTTTACTTACTTTAATAATTATATTCCGTACCACAGAAATTGAAATAAAACAACTTACTTCAGATACTGACATATCCCACAGGGCACATGCATCTTCTTCTATCTTTGGATCTAATTCCACAATGTCTGTTTCTAAAATCTCATTTTCTACAGAATTTTTGTGAGTTTCTCCAACTTTATCACATGCCTTCAAGAAATATTCATGAAAAAAAATTATCAAAGTTGCAAATAACTAACAATATAAATTTTTAATTATATTTATAGCGATGAAGAAAGTTTGTGGTTGCAATAGAATAATTAGAAATAAAATGTAAGAATTTTTTTTTGAACAACGATAGCAATATCTGTCTGTAAAATACTTATATTACTATAGTTTACAGTCTATAACATATTAACATTGTAAACATGAAAGAAAATCCCACATTCCTTCTTTCATTAAATAAAAACCAGTGTCAATATAACATGCACTAATCCATCCAACTCTTATCTGCAAACTTATATTTTTTCCCCCATCAAAAAAGCACATTACAATATTTAAAATGCTGATTATATGCAATTTAACAATAATTCAACTTTTTAACGTCTAGAAAAAAAATGTTTTGGTCCAGTTGGAGTTTTAACTTAGGAATATAAGACAATAAGTCAAAGCAAAATACCTTATGTTCAAATGCATTAAATGTTTAAAAAAACATGAAGGAATAATTTTATAATATGAGGAAATATTAAAAATATGAGGAAAATCTTATGCTTTGATATCATTGTTTTAAAAAAAAAGATTCTTATTTTACCAACTCACTTCAATGATATTCATCAATATTTTAATAATCCAGTGTTTGCTGTACACAGTATTTCCAATGCGATCAGGAAAAAGATCTTCACTATTCAAACTTTCTGGAGGTGGAGGGTTTTGATCTAGAAACAACCTTTAATTATAAACACTAAAAAATATCAAGCTATTGAACACATTCACAAAATGCAATTCTCTCCAAATTAAAATAAGCAATATCAAGTAAAATTAAGTAAGACAGTAAAGTTAAATACACAGAGAAAAAATATTTTTTGCGTTATCTTAAATATTATCAAACTTGTGCAACTACTGTATAATTCTGAAGAAAAAAGGCTATCCATACCTGAGCCAAAAGCCTCATGTCAGAATCACAGTGACATTATTGCAGAATGTTACGGAGCTTTCACGGAATTATTTTTCATTTGGGTTACAAAAATTTTGCAGAAATTTTTTTTGCAGAATACCTGCAGAATTTTTCCTACATTTTTTTTCCCTGAAGAATTGTTGTCAAAAGATTACCTTTATCACGTACTCAGAAAGGGAAGAAATGATACAAAATTTGACTTAGGTTTTAAAATCCTGATTCTTTTCATTGCTCAGTTTATACTATCGATCTTTTAATTGTTATTATTATTTTTAAATAATGATATTACAGCCTGAGAAAATTGAATCGCAAATAAGAAGTCACTCTGAAAATGTTTGAATTGTGTTAATTTTATTATTAATACCTACAGTGTTTCGATAATTTTTTTGACAGTTATAGCTACGAATTTTTACATTCTGATTAATAATTTCATTTTTGTGTTTTTCAAGCAAATTTATTTCAACAAGCAAAATACAAAATTCGCGCTTGATTGTTCATTTTAAATGAGACAACTCACCACTCTCTACTTTTTGGCAGTTACACATTACCACATGGTTTTAAAATTGACGTATTCTTCATTTGATATTATTTTGACATGTAAAATCGAATGTAAAATTTGTTGCAAAATTATTTGTTGACATGTANTTTTACATTCTGATTAATAATTTCATTTTTGTGTTTTTCAAGCAAATTTATTTCAACAAGCAAAATACAAAATTCGCGCTTGATTGTTCATTTTAAATGTGACAACTCACCACTCTCTACTTTTTGGCAGTTACACATTACCACATGGTTTTAAAATTGATGTATTCTTCATTTGATATTATTTTGACATGTAAAATAACACAGAAGATTTGTTGCAAAAAGCTAGAAAAAATTCTACCAAAGGTACCAAAAGTAGGTTTTACTATTTTTTTAAAAAATTACCGGAAATTCATAATCATAACCTATAAATACGTAAATGTGAAAAATTTTTAAAAAATTTGCATGCTATCTGCTATTTTCGACGACCTCAAAGTCCTGAAACTTAAGAACTGGAGGGGAGTTGCCATGGACAGAGGGAGCTGGAGAAGGCGTGCTGTTGAGGCAGCCAAGGCCTGCAAAGGGCTGCTGCGCTCCTGAAGAAGAAGATCTGCTATTTTGTAACTTTAAACTTCTCAATAAGACTACTCAGAATTTAAGTACATTTGTTACTTTTTGTTCATAAATAAAAACCCATTAAAAGTTCCTATGACTCTTTCCTTCCTACTTTTGTTGTTTACCTCCCTACTAAAGCCTTTCAACTTACTAGCCCGGATTGGCATTATCAGCAGCACAAAAAAAAAAGAAAAGAAATCGGATGTTAACAGCAAGAATTATATGAATTCTGAAGCTAACATAGTGAACTTTTCCTATTCGTTTCAAACTAAAAAAATTTTTTTTCTTCTTACTACAACTTTTATTGGCTTCTTTTTTAATTGTATTTAATTTTGTAGTTTCCAACAACCCTCAGTTTTTCATCAGAATTTATTTTTTTTAACTTTCAGCTTACATTCATTAATGTACAGGGTACTAGGCTACTTTATCATAAACGGTAACGAAAAAAAAAATCACATGATTGATTAAATTCATTTCCAATAAATATGAATTTCAAATTTCATTTATAATTAATTAAAAAATATTAGTAAAAATATTAATAACTAAACCTAAAAATAGTATTTATAAAAAAATTCAATTCCTTATTTGTTTATTTTTTTGTATATTNTGCTCGAATTTCTCTGTATATTTGATTTGAGTTGCAGTGAAACCTCTCAGACCAAAATTTAATATTTAAATCAAGACTGTACTCAGTTTGATAGGGACTGCTCCTCAGGAATATCCTTGACTAAAATTTTGTATTTGAACCTTCAAAATATGAACACATGGACAATTTTAAAAATAAATTCTATCACTAATATTAAATATCTTAGATGTTATGATAGTTACTGTTTGCTTTTTGTAACTTCTCAAAATAAAAAATATTTAATTTACAATTCTTTTTAAATGTTGGTCTTGGTAGTAGATTTATGGTAGTGCTTGGTAGTACATTATTCATCAAATGTCTTCAAAATTTTGGCAACCATACAAGACGTTAACTCCAGGTAAGAATCTATAATTTTTCTTGTATATTAGGAGAACCAGGCGGGCACACTTGGCCATTTTAATTAACTTGAGCTGGCAATCACATATAAATTATAGCCTGCATATAAATTAAACATAATGTTACGTGAAATTGTTTTATTAAAAAGGTATGATACAACATCATGTTATGAATAGTTGACCATGTAAAGCTAAGCACAGATTGAGGTAGGTGTATAGATTCCTCCCAAGACTTCTAGGTTACTATTCCTGATCGATTTTTACCTCAAGCTTGGAAAAGGGTGTCATCAAATATTATTATACTTGTATTTTCAATACAACACCTTTTTTCAATTGAAATTCCAATTAAACAAACCACATATGAATCTGGAAGACTCTACAAGCATGCTATGCACTACAAGATGCAACTCAAAAAGTACCTAAATTTTACAAAATATAGCCAAATAAGGGATAAAAAATAAAACATGGCCAATCTTGCAACTTATTTACGAGGGATATTGATTTCCTTAAAATTGTTTTAAGCTATAGAGAGAATGTACACATTACTGAAAACTCTTATGAAAGGTAAAATCAGGTGCAAATTTAAACATAAATCACATTGATAAATCTTATTAATGTGAATCCTAGAATATTTAAGCCTGCTCACATCTCCCCATTAGAGGAGGAATATACCGAAAGTTTTATATATTTTTTCTGCTCTTATGAAGCTTGTTATTGTTTATCGAGAATCAAGAAATGTATGATGATTCATATTGTATTTTTATTTCCAGAAACAAATAACTGGTTTAAACTGGAGCAAAAGGAAAACTAACTATATTTTTTTAAAGTAGAAACTAAGCCCATTCACATAATTATATGTACTAATCAAATTCTTAACAGATATACATACATTTTGTATAGGTTAATCTTGATTAAAATAAATTTAAATTTGATTAGCATCATTAAAGAGGAATGTACAAAGAAAAACAATTATTAACATAATATCTTTCAAACTACAAAATATTACTAAAATATGTATCCATTAATGCATAAGTTCACTTCTGTTACAAAATAAAAATTGTTGATTGTTATTTAACATTAATTATTTATTGTACAAACAATAAATACCTTGTTCATTTGACATAGTATCAAGTTGTGTAACAAAGTGATTAAAAACGATTCCTTGTCACTTAAAAACAATTTTAACAATAAAACAATTCTGAACTTTAACATAAATACTTGAGAAACACTAATTCTTAGTTTTAAAACAAATCCCCAGACGATAAATAACGGGTGTGAAAGTGATCGAATAATTATCCGAAGAAGACTTTTCAGACCGAAAAAGTTTCTAAAATTGAAACTATTATACGAATAACGATCAAAAACTGAAGAACGATTTTAAACTGTAAAATCTAGTTAAATGTAAGAAATTGGAAAAATCTTCATAATAATTGAAGTTGAAGTTTTTCTTATGTAATATATTAAAAGCCTTAACTTTAAAATCACTTGTGAAAAATTAATAAAATTTGAATTCATCTATCGAGCTCAGATTTGAGCTGAAATCTTCGAGTAATTCGAGCTTAATTAAATTTCTCCTAATTAAATCGAAATACTCTACTCACTGTGACTGTTCAAGATTCTAAAATTTTGGATAGGAAACAAAACAAAAAATTTACAAATAGTAAAGTATTCGTAAACAATTTTTTGATTAGCTTGCTATAATATTTGTATAATATCAGAAAATATGGAATATCCATAGAAGTTGTAGCATTTTTAAAACAACTCAATTGCCTTTTTTATTTGTGTATGTCTTTTAATAGGTCAAAAGTTTCCTGTTCCCATTTCAATTTTTGAGTTTTCAATTAATGAAATGCTCCCAAAAATAGGTATGTAATCAAAATACATTCTATTAAAAAGCATTTTGTTACATTTCATCTTCTTAAAAATAATTTATGATGTGTGATTTGTAATTTATTTGATCTCAAGTGTCCGAAATTTTCTAGAAAAAAAAAGGTTATGTGGATTTTTTAGAGCGTGTAATTTTCACTGATTTGCTTCAATATATCCTGAAACAAATTTAAGTTCTTGCTAACTATATATGTTTAATAACGTCGGTTTTTTTTAAAGAAAAGCTAGATTTTTTGTTTCTTAGAAGATAACAGTAATTGTTAAGATAATTTTTCTCTATTGAAAATCCATTTAAATTATTTATTTTGTAATGAATTCAGTTATAAACTAATTTCTTATATTTTATAAATAACTTTGCTCAATATATAATTTTATTTATCTGTATTTGATAAGATTCTGTATTTGTATGTGAGTATTTCAATATGTATATTATATAAGTAGTTCTTTAATATTACTGATAAATTCATTCATTATGAATGAATTTAATAATTTATTTTTTTATAACAATAAAAGCACTTTTCTCCCCTATAGGGTGACTATAATTATATTTTGAAATAGAAACTAAGTATTGTTTGATTTTTTATTTTATGAGTTTGAATTTTTTTGTACTCATGACATCATGGTATTAAAAATAATTTCATTCAAATGCTCACCTTTGGCCTTCAATTACTTGTCTAGTTTTGACATTTATTTGTCTTTTTTATAACATCAGCTATGTGAATAATATAGGTTTTATGGTCATAAAATGTTAGTGGCTTATTTGAGTAAACCAATGATGTATCATAACTCTTGAGAATATATTGCATGCTCTTGATATTCAGTTTGCTTGACATATTTAGAAATTATAATGTCTCAAAACTTTTCTCTGGATAAATTTACTGTATCAAGATCAGTATTTCGTATGTTGTATCATTGTAATAAACCATCATATTTTTCGTTTATGAATATTTTAATTCCTGCAAAATAAAAATAAAAAGTTGCCATGTTTTTGTAACATGCATTAACATTCTTAATTTTTGCTTTAAACAAAATCAACGTTTTAATTTTAAGTCAAGTTTGTTTTAATTTTGTTATAACTAAATCATAAATCACTCCATACCTAATTATTGTGAATGTGTGGTATTTTGAGAAAAGCATGTAACCCATGTCAGTGTTTTCATCATAGAAAAAAAATGGGTGAGAATTTCTCACCCTTTCTCAAAAACAGGGTGGGATTTCAGAAAGTTAAGTGAGATTTCTAAAAACTAAAAAAATACAAATAGACTTGGAAAAAAAATCATTTCTTTTATTATAATACATTTTTAACGTCTTCTATTTTTTAAAGCATTGAATATTTTTGCTGCATCATCATAGAAGATTTTGCCTTTACTAGGTATTTGTCCATCTTACATTAGTGCATAAAAAATTTGAACGTCTTACATGAAAAACCATACCTACAGTAAACACGTGATTGCAGAGAAATGTGTTCTGAAAGGGGTTCCGTGGTTCGGAGGGGTTGTGTTCTGTTGTTCGAAAAGGTTCTGAACAATACCTACTGGTAAATAGGGAAGCTAGATAACGGGGCTAATGTTGAAAATAATGAAGATCCAGGAAGAAAAGTGAAACGGATTTTATTCTAAATGACGTAATTCGAAACTTTTTCCAAAATGCGAGAATTTCGCGAATTTTGAAAATTATTTATAGAATGCTCGAATTTCTCGCGATAATAATTTTTTAATGCGAGAAAAGAAAAAAATATGCGAGATTCTCGCGTTCTCACGCTGTAGTGAAAACACTGCATGTGCAAAATGCCATTTAACTAAGAAAGTCAGTTATATATAAGTATTAGTTAGTTAAAATTATTTAAAAAAATTTTTCTGAAAAATAATAGATATATGTTCTCAAGTTCTTTAAAAGGCGAATCTGCATAAGTTGTATGCAAAAAATTTTAATTTTGTTTTAGTTGAGTTAACTGAAGTTTATAGGCCTTAAAAGACAAATCTTATAAAGATTTGTATGCTGTATAACAGCATACTTTATATAGTGCAATACGATTTGTTTTTGCTAGATAAATTTAAAGCATTATTTGACACAAATTTTTTAATTAAATGACAAATAATAAGATCTGTCTGTTAATTATTTTGACCATAAATTTTATGTAATGTTCAAAATATAACTCGAATAGCTTATTGTTTTTGAAATAAATTTCAATACCAAGGAATTATATATTATTCCCTGTTGATTTGCCAGATAATACTGAACTCATATTTCAATTTTAGTGACAATCAGAGAAAGAAGGTTTCTGTAATATTTTTCAAATTAGTAAATTGATCATCCTTTATTTTTAGTAATGTTAATAGCTATCTATTTATTGCTAAACTATTTTTTTTAAAAATTATATTTTTTTCCAGGTGTATTATGTTTCTGTGCATTAATTCATGTTATCAATAAATGCCAGGATAATTGAAAGAATACAGATCAATTGTAAGTACCTACCCATTATAACTTTCATACTCAAACTACAGTGAAACCTCCAGGAAAGACCACCACTGTGTAGTGACCTCTTCTATTTACGATCACTTTAAGGGAATCGCGGAATTTTTTTCAAAGACTTTGTTTTGAAGAAAACCTTAAAGAGACTATCGAAGCCTCTGCCAGCGATCGGGCAAATCTCTGCCCCACATGCAGGAAAGATCGAATAAGAAAACAAGAAAAAATATCAAAGTAAAAAAAAGTACCGAAACAAATTAGTAGATTCAAATGTATTCAAAATATTTGTGAGTGGCTCTTATTTAGAAAGCTCTTTTTGGCAATTGCTGAAGAATTTGACATATACAGTCAGAGTGCACTAAAGATGATGCTATCTAAGATTTAGTTTTAGAGATTGATAAGTTAAATTAGATGAAAAGTTATTTTAGCAAAAGCTAAAGATCTCAAATAAGCAAATCTTTTATTTTTTAATGTATACTAATTTTTATTATATATAAAATTAAATACAATTTGAAACATAATTATTTATTTAAAATTGTTTTATTATTCATAATAGTTAAATTTGTTTCAACACATAATTACATCAGCAGAAATGATTTTTATTGATACTAAATTGCTCCAGCTTTCCTGACATTAAAACGAGGCATTTCCATACCGAGAAAATGATAGTGTGTCGAATTAAAATTGCCTGTCAGAAATCATGTACCTTCAATAATGTTTTGAAGTCAATGGAAGTAACCCCTAAGAATGACCAACATCCATTTTAATGAACATTTTATTGTGGAACATAGAGTGGTCGCCCCTGAGAAGTTTCACTGTATTAGCTTTCACAAATGAAATATTTATCAACATTTCATTATAAAAATTTTATATATGTTAAAGTTTCAATTCTTGTAATTTTAAACAGAACTCAGGAATTTCTGTACCTTTTGTATGAAGCTTTAAAATAAACTCACATTTGCAATTTACTTTATATTTAGTAAAACTAAATCGCATTTGTGTTGCTTTGAGAAAAAAGCCACAACAACCTTCACAATTAGCCGAATCGTAAAAGAATTCAAACCTGACTGATTATAATTGAATTTAGTAAAGTTTGAAACACATTTTCTGCAAAAAATTTTAATTTAAATTATTGCTTGCATTGGTACATACTTGGGTTCAATATAAGCATGAAAAAGCGGGTTTTGATATTACAGTAAAATGTTTTCAAATTAGCTTCTTGTTATGTTATATGTATATGGTCTAGACAACTTTATAGGTACATTTTCCTTTTTAATGAAATTCACCAAATTGATTAATGTATTCATCCATTCTTTCAAAATGTTTATTTGTCTTTGCAAATATCAAGAAGTAGGGACAGTCATATTTTTAGTGTAAAGTCTTGTTTTTATGAAATTTTGAAAATTCTACTCAATTTTGCGAATCAAAAATAAGTTTTGAATCTGATTATTTTCAGCTAGGGTCTTGCTGTTGATTTAGGGAAATATATCCTCTTTTTCTTTTTATCCTATTTTCATGAAAATATTGTAATAATTTTAAGAAATACTAATAAAGATAGTTAATGAGAATATGTTGTCAAGCGTCCTTTTTACGATTAAATATTTTGTGAAAGATCTATTTTTATAATAAAATTCTTTGTAAACCATTCATATGGTAATATATTTTATAATAAATCTTTGATAATATACGCAATTTCTCCTAAGCTGACCATGGATAAACAGTTTTTGCTGTATTTTGTATGAACAACCTTTAATGTCATTGGCTTAAAAGCCTTTTCCTTCATTTTTTTTAAATTAAGTTGATTTTAAAATGTTATAAAGCAATGCAAGTTTCAAATATGTTTTTCATTCATGTAAGCATAATAGTATCATATTTATTCATTTTGTGTTTTTTTTTTTTCCTTCAAAAAATTGATTTAGTTGTTAGAGTGAAATTTTTTTTCACTCTTACTCAGTTACTCTTGGAGGTACAATTTATTTTGTTTTTAATGCAGCTTATTACATTCTTACTTCTATTCATTAATTTATTAATAATAAAATTTTGCCCTCTTGTAAAATTCATTACATCTGAACCAATAATTTTAGCTTACATAATTTAGAAATTGATTGACTGCATGGGTTACAAAAACAAATATTATTTTTATGAATACATTTAAGTTTACTGTGAATCTTAGCTTGTGCCTAGACTAAATGTGTGTTACCTGGCAAAATCAACCAGGTATTGAAATTTGTTTGCTGAGTCCAGGTAATTGCTGATTACCTGATACATTCTTGATATCTATGAAGAAAAATACTGCTTTGTTTATTCAATACAAAAGAAGAAATTATTCACCCAGTTTATGCTTTATGCACTGAATATTTAGTTTGAACTATTTATCTAATTCATATTCAGTATCCAATGTTCTATTCTTTTCTGCACATCATTTGTTATTTATTGCTAAATCCATAATTGTTATATTCAGTTTAATTGTTATATAGAATATGAGGAGTTCTAGTGAATTCTAAATTGTAATAAATTTATAGAAAATACTGTTTAAAATTTTTTTTTCTTGTGGCTTCAAAATATTTAGCATTTTGTTGGAAGTCAGAGAAATTGAAATTTTAAAGCGGTTGCATTTTTTAAAATCATAAATTTGCAATTTAACAATGACGTGTTATGACCCATATGTTTTTAATCTAGTTTCCTGTTCTCGTTTGTTCTTAGAAGGTTATAATAATAAATTCAATAGCTATTGTTTTCATAATTTCCAGGCTATAGAATGGCTGTAACAGTTCAACAACTTTTGAATGATGCTAAGCGTCTTGTTACGCGTCTTCGTGAACATGACAGTGCAGCTGATACATTGATATCACAATCTCAATCATTGAATAATAATTTAGAAACAATGAAACAGGTAATTTTATATTGTGTTATTTATTTTTATATTGTATATTGTTTGCTTTCTCTTATTCTAAAAATGTTAATGCTTTGAGTATATTTTCATAATTTTTAATTTGTTTATTAATCAAAAGGAAATGACTTGACCTTCTTATTTATATATTAATTATGAATTGAAGATACAGTAATTTTTTCGTCATTGCTGCTCCATTTAAATCAAACTTCCACTTAAGAAGTGCAATTATATCATTCCTGTAATTTCTTGAAATCATTAATGTTTAGAACAAGGTTTCTTGTGTAGCATTCGTCTCATAATGTAACTTTCTATTGTATTTAACATAGTTCTTTGGTCATTTGCTGAAAAAAATGTCAGTTTTTTGTTATATTAATTCTTAATAATTTTTTATGAGTCAGTGGTTTTCTCTTAATTAAAATGTTTTGCTAATGAGTGGCTTTCAAAAATACCAGAAAGAAAGGAAAACAAAATATGTTCCTTATTCCATGACTTGCAAGAAAATTTCTATTTAAAAGTAAATTAAACTTTTACTTTTTCCTTTTAAGAAAATAGTTTGAAAACATTTGGGATATTATCTGTTAAGATTACTGTCATTAACTGTTAAGATTATTATGTTTGTTTCCCATCCTTAATTTGTTAATGGATAATCATGTTTTTTTCCTCCTTTTTTTGTATTATCAGTTCATTTGTTTTATATTGACTATTTTATTTTATTTTTTATTTTGAAACTTTAATAATAGTAAATAAAATAATAATAAACTGCAAAAATAGTAAATTAGAAATTTTTGCACCTATTGAGTTTTGTGTGATAATTCTTTCTAAAATCTGATTTGATATGAATTCTATTATGAACATTTAAAAAAACTAAATATGCCTTAATTGTTGGTAACTGATTAAATTAATTGATGCATTAAAAAACTTGCTTTGGGAAATATACCTTTAAACAGATGTGTTTCTTCATCCGAAATTAAGAAATTTAATTCTCTACTTTCTTCTCTTTTCAAAGAAAATTTACTTGTACTAAATCGTGTGATTATAAGGTAAACCATTAATAAAATAATAATAAACTACAAAAATAGTAAATTAGAAATTTTTGCACCTATTGAGTTTTGTGTGATAATTCTTTCTACAATTTGATTTGATATGAATTCTATTATGAACATTTAAAAAAACTAAATATGCCTCAATTGTTGGAAACTGATTAAATTAATTGATGCATTAAAAAACTTGCTTAGGGAAATATACCATTAAACAGATGTGTTTCTTCATCCAAAATTAAGAAATTTAATTCTCTACTTTCTTCTCTTTTCAAAAAAAATTTACTTGTACTGAATCGTGTGATTATTAAGTAAACCATTAATAAAATAAATGTTATATTGATATTATTATTTAATCTTAGTACCATGAGGAAGTTGAAAAGTTGAATTCTTTGTCTCATCAACGACCTCGTTCTGCTTTGATTTTAAACATTCAGCAGGAAAATCGTCACATAAGAGAATTGCAACAGGAGAATAGAGAATTGCGTATCATGCTAGAAGAACATCAATCGGCCTTAGAACTTATAATGAATAAGTATAGACAGCAAGCAAAACGTATGGCTGAGACTGCTAAATATGAAAAAGAGTGGATACAAAGGGACTACACTCAGGTATTTTTTTAGCCTATTAATCCCTTGCATATTTTGATATTATATATTTTTATTATAGATTATTTGTACTTAAAATCTTAAAGATTTTTTTTTTAAATCACTAGTTTTTGCTGCATTTTCTTTCTAATTTTCCTTCTTATTTGTAATACTGAAACCTTTGTAATTTGGAGCTTTGTATTCTATCCTGGTGCTCTTTTCAATCATATAACTTTCTTTCATTGTGAACTGATCTTTGTACAGCAATAGTGATTAATATTATATTAAATAGTCAATCATATCTGATCTCACTCATTAATCACTATATCCTTCCTTAGTGCACATAGAAAACCCCCACATCAGCAAATAATAATGGGCACTATATAGTATCCAATGCGAGCACAAAATTATCTATTAATATTTATTTTCTCTTATACATTTTTGTAGCTTCTGAAAATGTAATATAAAAATACCTTGTCTAAATAAAAAAGCACTTGAAAGCACAGCTTTTTCGGTATTGATTAAATATAATGACTTCTATGAAGTATGTAGAAACAGATTTTTTTTTCTGTATGATAAAACTAAGATTATCTGAAATACTGAACCAGAAATCTGTTAAAAATACAGATTTTTGCTTTATTAGGGTAATGTTTTGCAGTCATTCTTATTTTCAAATTTTTCATAGCAATATGAGTTTACAGAATTTAGAAATCACGCAATTTGATTTGCTAATCATTATTGCAATTTATGAATCAATGTCAATCACTGCTATTGCCGGTATTGAACAACTGTTAACAACCACTTCGAATATATTCATTACTAACTAAGTAAAGATTTCCTTCAACTGGATGTGTCATTTAATTAATTGAGGTTCGACTCTATATTATCATCTAATAAATTGGTAAAATATTTTGTAATATAGATTGGTAAATAATTAACTCTTAATTGCCTAAAATAATGTTACATTGTGAAGCTATTGAAGGGCTAATAGTTTTTTCAAAATATCCTATGTTAAAAAATTTATTGAAACTAATGTGTATAATGTGCTGAATTAATATTACTAACTAATAAATTTTACTACAATAATAACTAATAATTATTTGTTATTAATGGCATGTTGTTTCTTCCTATGCCATTTCTTACAAATACAATGCAAATGTGCTTACAATGATTGTAGAATCATGTTAACTAGGATTTCTCACCCTTAAAATAACATAACCATTTTTTCTTCATTTGATTATTTCAGCTATATCAAATTTCGTTTGTAAATCTGTGTCTAAAAACAAAATTATAGTTGAAGAAAAATCAAGGACATGCAAAGTGATTTAACCAGCAGGGGGAGAGGAACAAACTTGAACCAGATATTAAAATAAGGGATTTAAGAAATAGATGTATGATGCATTTCATTTTTTTTTACCTATTTCATATCTCCCTTTATTATTTTGTTCAAACTAGTTCCTTTTTCCTTACTGGTTATACCACTTGTGTGTGTTTGATTTTTTTTTTACTTTTCTACTGTCATTTTGTGTTTATACAATGTAGGTTCTGGTTTATGAAACTATGGCATGTTTCTATTCCTTTATGTGTAGCATTTTTGTTCATTTATTTGTGCTTTATTCACTTTCTTTTGTTTTGTTTATTTTCTTACTTCATTTAGGCAACAATATTTAATTTAGTTGCACATTTTAAGAACCAAGAATTCATTTTCTTAGATTTATAAAATAATTAAATTAAAAAGTGGGGTTTTTTTTTAGATTTATTCGAAAAACTAATGTTGAAACTTAGCTCTTTAAATATTTTACTTGAGTTTGCATTTTTAGTATGCATTAAATTAGCTATCAATATTATTAATCTTAATATTTTTTTTTAGTAAAATAATTAATTTATTATTTGCTTACGATGGCTAATAATTTCAGGAACTTCGTAAAAGGACTGATAAAATATCTGAGATGGCAGCTGTTATGAAAAAAGCTATCAGTATTGATGATGAAAACCTATCAAAAGAACAGCAAGTTGTTAGCCGCTTGGTGAAAGAGAATAGTTTGCTGCGAGATATTTTAGAACTTCAGACTACTTTTAGAAGCCAATCAGCTCAAAGTAGGGTTAAGTTAAAGACTGATGAAAGTGTACAAACTGACTTATGATTGTGCAATTTATTAAATGTATTCATTTATGTGATTATGTTTAGTGATATATAGAATTATATTTAATCGTTGTGATAAATGTATTATGAAAACCTTATGCACATTTCTGTTTATTTATTCAAGTTTTTAAATTTTATTTATGAATTTGTGTATTATATTTGTATTTGTAGATTACAATGAGTTATATAATTTAGGTGTAATTTTTGTTTGTAAATTTCATATCAAATGTATTTGGGAAACAGAAAAATTTAAGAATTAAGGAAGAAAACTTTCAGTATGCTGAATTTGTAAGATATAAAATTCCAAATTTCTAAGTTTTTTGTGTTTGAAACATAACTTTAAATTTAAGCAATCTTTAATAAATTAAAGATATCTCTTTATCTTCATATTTAAAATCCAATCTATTTTGATTATTAAAAAGTGATTGTTATAAGCATAAAATTTGATTTAATATGATTTATTTTTTTTAACTGGTTTCTTTTGATATCAGTGAATATAATATAACTTTAAATACTAAGGACTTTTTTTTTTCTTCAAGAAAATGGCTTTATGGCTTCCATATGCTGTTTTCTATTTTTATATCCATCTTTCCTCCTTAATCTTTTCAATGCATTGTATTTCCTTCCAGAGTTCTACAATGTTTAAAAATAAATTTGTGTTTCATGACTTATATACTCTTAAATTCACATTTTAACTTCAGTTTATATTTACTATTTCTCACTACTGTTTCTTTTCACTTTCTCTTTGTTCTTTTCACTATACCTTGATTATTTAATGTGTTGTATGTTTGGAGAATCATTGCTGATTCTGGCTCTCGTGTCGAGTGACTCTACTCTGAACTCAATGCATTGAATTTTATTTTCTGTATTATGAGTTACTACTCTCCAATATTGCACTATGCAATCTTAAGTAACAGTGTTCAGATATTTTTTGAAAAGATAAAATTCTATGTGTATATGGTATATAGAATCTATTGAAATAAACATAAATATTGAAATAATATTTTTTTAATATAAATTTAAATATTTTGTGTTATGGATATATTATTCTTTAAACTTAAATTAAGTATTCTTTTTAACTGATATTTTGAATAACTGAATTTTTTTGCAATTATTGATTATATATATGCAATTTTTTAATTTTTATGCAAGTTTCAACTTTTTTAAATGTTAAAATTTTTTTATATCCTTCTTTCGAAATTTGGAATAATATTTAAAAATAGATATAGTGTCTAATCGATAATTCTGTTTTCTTAAATCTCATCAAATGTATAAGATTCTTTGGTTCTGAAAAATTAGTTAAATTGTCAAGATATAAATAATTTATTTTACTTGTTAGCAGGGTTTATTTCACCTAGAAAAACTATCTACAACTGGAATCTGTATATCAAAATGTATAAAAAATAATATGAATTTTCTAAATATTAGCTTTCTTGTCAAATTATATTAATTAAACATCAACCAATTGTACCCTGTTACCCAAATACAAACATCTGAATTTTAAGAACAACCAATTTTCATTGATAAGTTCTTGAAATTAGGGAAAGAAATTTTCTATAATATCAGTTTTTTTTGGACCAATATCATGTTTTTAAATTTTTTTTTAAAGAACTCAAAAATCAAAGTCTTGACAATTATGTTTTTCAACATTGGTTTGTATTACTTTTAGCTGTAAAACTTCTGAATCACTTGTATATTTTTTTTTTACATTTCATTTAATGTTTTTTTTTTCTTTTTTTCTTAGTACAGTAGGGAACCGATTATCCGTAACGATCGAGACCATCGCTATTCCCGATAACTGATTTTTCCGGTTTTCTGAATCGCTACAAAAAGCCGTTTTTTTATTGTTAAACCCAACTTAAAAAAAATTGTTATTTTTTGGAAATAATCTTAAAAAGAAGAGAAAACGATGGAGTAATACACTAATGATTATTTCCAAAATGATGGTAAGGTAAACATCTTTCAAAAAAGAACGAAAAATCCTAAAATCTTATGAGGAAAAACATTTTTTTCTTAAAAATGGCGGGAAAATTTATTGAATTTCGTCCCGGTTTTCTGATTTCTGGATAACGGGCTCTGTACTGTACTATAAAAGTGTAAATGAATGTGTTTATGCCTCAGAAACTCATCCACATTTGACAATCATATCCATTCTGAATGTATTCTTACTTCTTTAAACTAGTTGTTTATAAGCTACAGTTTTACAAATGTAGAATGATATATATCAGTGGCACAAATCACAAAATTGAATGTTATGTGTAGAGTTTGGATTTTTAGAACTTAAAATGCCATAAAAATATTAAAAACATCAAACATAAAAAAAATTATAAGAATTTCGATCTGAAACATTTTTTCTTTTCTAAATTTACATGTGAATTTACTAAAATATATATGTTAAAAAAAGAAGTGCACTTTTTAATAAAGTGCAAAGTAACTATTAAATGCTGTAATAACAAAAGGCTAAAGGAATATTCTATGAATAATTTTTGAGATTTTCTTTTAGAAACATATTTTTTTCCCTTGTAACAGTTTCAATATTAATGGTTTTAAAAAAAATTTGATTTCGTTTTGGAAAATATGACACTATTTTACGAAAAAAATCTAAAATGTAAATGCCTAAAATGAAGAAAATTCCAAAAAATTTTCAACTGATGGTAGGAATACTAAAAAGGGCAATTGTCATCAAAATCTGGGTGTTGATATACGCCATTATTTATGAATATATAATTTTTCTTTCAATATGATGTGTAAAACCTAGCTAATATAATTTTTGTATAATTTAAAAAAAATTTAATTTGATAACTGATGCAACATGTACAATGTAAGAAATAGAAATTTTGACTTTCAGGAAAGGGATTTTTTTCTCTTGCTAAACTGTTTGTTGTCCTTTAGACATGACTGCATAAACAGTTTTAAATTTCAAAATGTACTTTTATCAGTTCAGTGTAATTCGATGTTTTAAGATAAATTTAGTTAACCCACTGGCGGCGTAGCTAAACGACAAAAGTGGGCAGATATATATTTTATATATTATTTCCCTATCTAATAACATGGAAAAACCGGTTTTGCTATGCAAAGAAGACTGCAGGTCATAATATGAATTTTTACATGCAAAACCATCAGTGGGTTAAATCTGAAATAAATATGTGCATTATCTGTGATATCTAGATGGTAATGACATCTTTGGGTTACTAAATACAAAATCTGCATGTATTTGTTTTTAATAGTATTTATTAAGCGATTAAATTTTTTTTGCAATTCATGAAATTAAATTTTGTTTTGCAATTCATAAAAAACTAATTTTAAAATTTAACTTTGCAATAAAATGTAAATAAGTATTTTTCTAAAGTATACTATTCAATGGTTTTGTCAATAAATTTAATTTGACTTGAAATGTATAGTATGTTTATATGAATATTTAATAGAAATATAAGAAAGTATTATGCTTCATTTTAATAATTGAAATGTTTTTTAATAAATGTTTTCTATCAATCATATTTGCTGACTTATGGATGATGATTTCTGCACCAAAAAGCACTGTACTCTTTCCCCATCAAAACTCCAGGGTTTTTGTATACAGCCTACTCACTCACCATTTGGCTAACATATATTTACTTGTTGGCTGTTGTTGGTTTATTGTTTGAACTAGTCTTACGTTCAAGTGGCAATTTTTCTTTTTCTTGTGTTCTGAAATTTTCAAGTATTTTAAGATGTAAGTATCATAATATCAGGAATATTAATTCAATTTAAAAATTAATTATTTTGGTGATTAAGAAAGAATATAAGTTATGGTACAAATATATTACCTTGCAATAAATAAGTTTTCTTCTATTTTTATCAGTGCACACAAAATTGTCACATAAAAATATCGTTTAGCAAAAACAAGACTTGCAAGATACGTAGCTATACTATGTACATAATACCTAAACAATCCACAAATTAAAGTATAGCCAAATCAAGGTTGTCATTTAGAGATTTCTTTGAAAATCGGGCAACATTTCATTTCTTTTAAAAATCAAAATATAACAATATTGTAAAATATTGTCTCAATATTTACTTGGCTCAAATGATTGAGTAGATATCTTATGGATACTGTTAAATTGATAATTCTTATTTACTTTTATATTTTGATAAAAACAAAAGCAAATGTTTGATAACATCGCCTCGTAGGATAAACAACAATAAAATAGTGACTTTCTAACCAGAACATTTCTAAGTGTGTTTTTCGGGGTTTGTGCTTATTTCTCTAATGAAATCACCATCCATAAATTCTTTCTGTTTTATGTTTGTTTCTATATAAAATGGGAACACAGTTTTAAATTAAAAAGTAACTAAAATACCTAATCATTTAATATATTTGTAATATAATTAAAAGTTGTCATTTAAACATACATAAATTATTGTACTTTTTTTTCATCTTTGGTAAGTTATATGCTATAGATTTAGAAATCCTTTATTGTGTGAACTATAAGCAAATTCTCACAAGAATATCCTTGTGCATATTGTTTTAAGTAACACTTTTATTTATATTATAGTTTGAAAATTTTACTTTTGTTTTAGTTAAAAAAGTAGTACAATTTCTTTTATATTTTATAGTTTAGGAACATACTAGTTATGAATTAGAAGACTTATTTAAGAATAAATTTATTATATTTTTTATGTAATTTTGTTTCCCTTAGAACTGACATAAATCATTAAACTGATTCTTTAATAATGTAAATACAAACAGAATTCATATATGACATATATAACAAATATTTATCAGACATTGAATGAATTTTTATTCTTATAATCAAATATTTAACTTTCTTATACACAAACTTGCCTAAATTACTACAACTGTAACAAAATAATACTTAAGTTATAGTAACTAAATCATTAGTTTAATTAGCTATACATATTATTATGAATAGCCAATATAAACAAAATATGAGCTTTTAATATTGTAATTAGCTATGAAAATAACCTAGTTTATTGCAAATTTGTAAGAAGATGTATGCATTAGCTGGTTAAACAAAGCTGTATTCTATTAAATTATTTTTATTGTTATGTTTTCTGTCATATTTTGTCATATAACAATACCATTATCATATTTTGACTTGGGGTATAATTGTAGATAGTAAAAACTGAGTTAGAGACAAATAAATGAATTGTATAATATGCTCTGTGTCTTTTAATTTTTCTTTACTTAGTGTACAATTTGGGTAGGAAGAAACTTTGGTTTTTTTCAATTGCAATGATTACTTCTTATTACTTTCACTTCTGCCCTCAATTTTAAAAAATGAATTTTTTAAAGATTGTACAATAGTGTGTTTTAATTCTTGTATTTACATTTACTTATTATAATGAAAGCATTTAATAATCTAATTGCTAAGCTACTTCATCAATTTTATGCTAAAATTTACTTACTGTTTTGCCTTTGAAAAACATTGAGAAGAATATATTTATTATATGGGATCGAACAAGAGTATACGGAATTGAGATATGGGTCAACAATTATAAGTTATGCAGAAAGCACATATATTTTAATTAAAAGTACAGGTAAAAGTATATTTTGGGTGTCATGAGAAGGACAAAAAATTTGGAAAGTCCATTAAAGGAAAGTGGAAACAGATAAAAATGTTCGTCTTACCATGTTCTACTTAGGAAGCCAATTAAATTTTTAAAAAATGGTTGTAAAGTTCGTCATCAGGTGGTGCTGTTGATTGGAAATAATGTTTTGTGCTGCATGTCACATTATTCCAGTGGAAATATTTGCTCAGAGGTCTGTTTAATTGGTAACTCAGGCTGTGCCACGTTGTTGCTAAAAAAGATGGTTAGTTCAAAATTTTTTTTTTGTTTTTAAAGTTAGCGTTGCTGTTGGCAAAATTTTTAACTATTTTTGGAACTTAATAGGAATAAATTTTTTAGTTTCCTAATTGGAACGCAGTAAACAGTACTTTTCTGTCTCCTTCAGTTTTTCAATAATTTTTTTGAAATTGTTTTAAGTAAAGCATGTCTGGTTTTTTTTAAAAAAATTATATGTGTATATTAAGAAAATTAATGTAAGTATCTTAATTATAATTTATAAATTGACTGACCTTTTCTTCTGAATAATAATTCTTGTTACATAATTGGGCTGCCAATTTTTCTTTATTTTTTAAATTGTTGCGTTGAACCACAAAGTTATTATTATTATTTTCAATTCCAGTCTGTTCTTTGCCAGCACAGCAAAGAACCATTTGATCATGTTGTGCTGAACAATATTGTTTACTGAAGTCGTTAGACTGTAGACATAGATAAAACTCAAAATAATGTTTAACAATTTGTATTTCAGTGTAACAGCGTTTTTCTTTCTTACAATTTTTTTCTTCAGTACCTTGCATTTTTGTTGGACCTACAAAAATTAATTCCGAACAATACCATAACTATTAATAAACTAAACACGACCTTAAATCTTGAAAAAAATGATTGTCGGAAATTTCTTATTGCCTTAATGTCTTTTTTGAGATATAGGTTTTTTTAAGAAGTTATTTCTAATTAATTTACATCAGTGGCATGTGTAGACGTGCTTTCAAATTTTATTAAGCTGAGTTTTATATCAATAATATTTCGTGAGATCTGTCTTACGTCACATAGTTGCAACTGCAGATTTTCATAACACAATTTATCTATCATATTAGCATTCAGTACAAAAACGAATCAGAACAAAATTTTAAGAGAAATCCACAACATTTATAGAGAATGTCTGGAATAACTTATTTTTGTTTTTATTTTAATTATCAAGTGTAAAAAATTATTTACTTTAAACTTCTGGAGAAAATAGAATAGAGGAGGAATTTCTGACAAAATGTAAATTTACCAAAAATGAGACCTATATTTTAATTTTTTTTTTCTTTGTCTATATTTTGAAATTTTGCTGGAGTTTTTTAAAACTATTTTTGTCATCAGAAAATGTGAAACTTTTTTTTCTTCTAAAAGATCATATGTGTGTAGGATATTTTCAACATTAAAATAATGTTTTAGTGCAGTGGTCCCCAACCCCCGGTCCGGTACCGGTCCGCCCATTTCATTGAAACTGAATTTAAATTCCTAGGTTTATACCCCAAATTAAAAATATCTGTGTTCCATTAATATTTTATTTATTTAAAAAAAAGATGCCCCCGAAGGTAGTGACATAATTTTTTTAATGTTTTAAAAAGTAAAAAAAAAGAAATCTTCTGCAACTATTTTCTCATTCAGTTAGTTTTAATAAAATAAAAAAAACAATCATCCTAATTGTAAATATCATAAATAAAAAACGAAAGCGCGACGCGACATTTGCATTGGACTAGCAACTAATAAAGAACTTCGTCTTCTCTCTCAATTCTGACGCCTCACACAGCGAGAGTGTATAGTAAGGCTATAAAAGAGAAGCTGGCTAGTCTGCCATTTAGTCGCCCAAAGACCACGTGACTATGATTCCTCTCTACTGTTTTGTGTGCTTTATGCGGATTTGTTTGTTTTTTGTAAAAAGAAAGTGTCTATCACTCCTCTCTCTGTTCACCGGTACTTTCTCAGGTTTAACAGTGCTTGGCGTACGTGTGTATTGTGTCTGCACAAATTTAACTCACAAGTTAGCAAACATGAATACAAAACAGACGTCCTTGGAAAAAAGAAAAGGCTCAGTGAAGAGACCGAAGAGCCTTCAACATCAACGAAACATGAAAGAATGGATCCGCGACCCATTTGCCAACAAATCGGGTGAATCTAGCTTGTCAATGCAAGAAGAAGATCAACTGTTGGAGATTGCAAATGACTGCGGCCTTAAGACTACGTTCGAAACAACAACTCTGCCGGTGTTCTGGCTTAAAGTCTTAACAGAATACCCCGAGATTGCCACCACAGCACTTAAATCCCTATTGCCATTTCCGACAACCTATCTGTGTGAAGCGGGATTTTCTGCTGTAACAGCAACCAAAACAAAGCAACGGAATAAACTGGTGATAAGCAACACACTTCGGGTGTCATTGTCTCCGATTACCCCCAGATGGAGCCGTCTTATTACAAAGAAACAAGCTCAGGGTTCTCATTGATGTAACGTTCAAGTAAGTTAAAATGTTAAATCACTTTATTTTTTGGTGTAACTGTATTTTATTTTGAAGGTATGTTTAAATACAGTTAAATTAAAATTATAAAATTAAAATAATCTAAAATATAAACAATCAATGCCTCCCCCCCCCCTCAGTGGGCCGTGGTAAAATTATCAAACGTTGACAGGTCCGGTGATAAAAAGGTTGGGGAACACTGTTTTAGTGTATACACAAATTGAATGAAATATTGAATGAAGTTTTCAATGATTTTGCGTTAAAATGATAATATTAGTTTTTGTTTATGCAATGAGCAAAAATTACCATGGCGTTTTAGTCCTAATACATTAATATTGACTGCTTTAAAAAATGTCTTAAAAGTTTAGTAATTTTGTTTAATTATTTATTTAATATTAATTATATATTTCTGAGATAGAGATTAATTTCACCCTGTTAAAAAAGTAATTGTTCAGTAATCTCAAGTTGTGAAAACCAGACTGATCTTACCCAGGCGACATCCAAACGGAACAAAAAAGAAGTTAACTATAGGAACCGGGAATGCATTTAAAATTTACGAAATGTAGAGAAGTTCATTAAAATTAAACAGATAAGCATAATATTGTCGTGTCTCTAGAAGATATCTAGAGACATGACACAGTGGCGTAGCGAGGGGTGGGCAAGGGGGGGCATCATGCCCCGGGCGCTACTCACAAAGGGGCGCCAAATGGTCCGCAAAACAAAAAATTNGGGGGGGGCGCTAAAAGGGTATTGTGCCCCGGGCGCGAGTTAAGCTCGCTACGCCACTGACATGACAATAAAGACCCGGAAAAAAAATACTTTTTATGAGCTAGAACGGAAAACAACGACAAGGAGACTACGTACAAAATAGTTAGTTAACATGGAAAAGTGTAGTGCGGAAGTTAATAGATGGAGAATAGAGGCGTCTAGTAGATCAGGATGCATAAAGCTGCTTAGGACAACCATGGCTGGCAATCGGCAGTAGTGCTGGTAGAAGAAGAAGAAAGAGAGAGTTTATAAAAGTTTTTGTTCTACATTATAAGAAATGACTAATGCAGCAAGAGTATAGTTTAATTTAACTTGTCAAAGGTTAATTCTTCAGTTTTTTTATTGTCATATGGTACTAAATCAGAATATTTCTCTAATTTTTTTAAAAAAATTCCACACTTTGTGTCTCTGAGGTTGCTACAAATAAGAGATTTTTTTTTTGCCATTAAATAAGAGAATGTCATCCTAAACAATTGAATACTATGGATATTGTCAGAATGTTTTGACTAATGGCTAGTAAGTTAAGTGGATTAAGATCTGATAAAGTTGGAACGTGATGTTGGGAATTGACAAGCTGTAGCGAGTAAGGAAAGGGGATTTTGAGATTGAAGTAAGTGCTATAGTTTGTCTATGGTAAGAACTCCCACTGCTACAAAGTCTGAGGCCCGTCTGCTGCTGTGGAAAGAAGAATAGCGCATTTCAGGGAGGGAATCTTCTTTTCACTCTAGGGCTAACCCAATAGATCTAAGAAAAAGATTCCTTTTCTCTCGGCGATCCGAGCCAAAACCTGTCCTCAAGAGTGACCCCTCACCCCTACTTGAAATAGATCATAGTCACCACCACGGGTCCAGATGAATGGTTACGGGAGTTCTTACTTTAGACAAACTATACATATCTTTTGACAATTGTTTGTATTTCAGACAAAATTAATTTGCTTCTGAAACGTTCGATTAATATTTTTAGGCACATAATATTATTTTAAGAAAATATGACTCCCTTTTGTTCAGATGAAGAAAAAAATATTGTAATTCGCAACGTATAGGTGAGAGGATATGAAATTATAGTTAGACTCGATTAAAAAAAAAAACATTCACATGGCACGAAAATGCTAAATAACAATTCTAAAATACTTTATATAAAGGCTGGGCAATTTGTAAAATGTGGCTTATCATTATCTTTCCCAAGCTTACTTGTTATAGCAAATTTTAAAAGAAGAGTTTTTTTAATAGTTTGTAAGTAATGTTTTATTATCTAAATAAAGTATTATCTTTGCATTTTAAATCTTCATTAAATATTGAAATACGTAATAAAGCACTTTATTTCATAGTGCTGTTTCCAGATAGGTATTCTGCAAATCATTAGAAGTTACACAATTCTTAAAAGCATCTTATTACCTACTTAAAAATCTTTGTATTTTTCCTTTAAAACACTCTTCTGAACAATTTAAAAAATGTGGCTTATTATATTTCTTCAGCGCAATTTAATTAAGACAATGCATTATTTTTTAATACTTTGTAAGTAAAATTTTAACCTTATGCATTTGTAAAATATATCATTTTTTTCTCAAAATGTGTAATAAAGATTCAAATTCCTCACGAAACACTCTATTTTCACTCAATTAAGAAAAGTTTTTTTCGTTGAAAAAAATATAAAACAAAAGTTTTATCTTTACGAACGAAATCGTAATGAAGAGAGATGAAAGAATCGAGATACCTTTGAGATTTTTAAATATTATACCCGTCGCACACTTCGTACCAATATGACATGAATAATGATATTAAACTTGATTTATGTCTCGTCTTTGGATTTTTTACAATCATCAGGGGAAATGGAAGTTCGGATTTGTCATTTAGTTTATTCTCTTTTTAAATGCTCTTCTCTCGAGATAATAATTTAAGTAAGTTTTGAGATTCGTTCTCTTTAAATTATTAAAATCAAAATCCTTACTTCCAAATATATTTGAATAAATGAAAGGTAAGTAATAAATCATTTCGTTGGGAGATGAAAATAAAATTTCATAAACATTAAAAAATATTATAATAATTCCATTACAAATCATAATGAGACAAAAGAGATTGAATAAACTAAAAGAATGATTTTTCCCCCCGTTAATAAATATTCATGAAAAAGTAATCGAAAATTAAATAAGATAAAATAAGTTCCCTTGTTTTAATCAAATTACTTTTTCAGTAGTTTTGAACATATTTTGAAGTATTCTACTTGATTTATTTTTTATTTCATTACTTCTATTCGAATTTTTGATTCGTTTAATACTAATCAACGTAGGCAAGAAATGTATTAAAATAAAGGATTCATTTTATTTGAACAAAATACCATTTCCACAAGTCATCAAAGGCTTTTACATTTCCTTTAAATTAAAATAACTCTTTCGAAGTTTAATATTAGTTATTTTTAGATAAGTGAGGAAAAGTTTGCTGAGTTTTAAAACCTTCCGTAGAATAATTAATGAAAAAAACAGGTTAGCCGTAAAAATTAACAACCGTATCAAAATGGCTAAGAAATTCTTCTTTGGGATGAAAACACATTCGGAGTCAAATAAAAACGTATGATCCACATTGTAAAAACTATGGGGTAATAATTATCCGAATTTAGTGTGAAATAACTCTAAAAAATGTGGGTTGTTTCAAAATAATATCGAATTGAGCTTTTGTGAAACCATGGTAAGAAGTTTTCTTACCATGGATTAATGTACTGATGCGTGGGAGTGGAATCAAAGTCCTGACAGCTTTCGTTCACACTTCTGTAGTTAAATCTTAACTCCAATAAATTATTAAGCTTACTCCAGATACCTTTATTCCATCTATGAATTATTTTAGTCAATTTTAATGTCCGACAATCGATATTTCTTGGAATATCGATTGCCGCCTTATTGCTATAATGTCATAAAAATCAATGTCTGTCTGTTCTTTTTCGTTTTTAGTAAATTTTTGAACAGATCGTGTATATATACACCGAAGAGCCATTACATTATGACCACCCTGCTAATAACACGTAGGACAACCTTTAGCCCTCAAAACTGCTAGCACCCGCCGTGGCATTGATTCCACTAGGTGCTGATAGGTAGTCTGATGTATCTGGTACCAAGTGCTTACCAAATGGTCCTGCAATTCCCTCACATTGCGAGGGGGTAGCGTGCCAGCACGAATTTGGTTTTCCAAGTAGGACCACAAATGCTGTATTGGATTAAGGTCAGGTGAATTTGGGGGCCAAGACATGACTTGAAAGTCACTGGAATGTTCCTCGACGATTCGACCCTTATGACATGGTGCATTATCCTGTTGGTAAACACCATCCCCCGCAGGAAAAACTGCTTACATGAATGGGTGAACCTTTTCTGCAACTATGTTCAAGCAGCTTATAGACGTCAGGGATTGTTCTATGAGGATCATGGGTCCTAAAGTGCCCCATGAAAACATTGTTCCTGGGCGAGAAACCACGGAAACCTGGGCGAGCTCATTGTTATAGATGGAGGGTGGTCATAATGTAATGGCTCTTCGGTGTATATATATTATCAAGCAGGGAAGTGAAAGTTTGATTTTGCCTCGCACATTCTGCCTGAACATTCCTTAGAAACAGAAGTAAACTGTTTTGAAAAGCATTATATTTTTAGTTGTATAATAAAGATAATTGCATTATCATAAGATTTACCTAAGTCTGTCAATTATATTAAATAATTTTATATTTAATTCCTATCCACTTCGTTTTTGTTTAACCTTGTTCGAATTCATATCAATGCTCTACTCCCTATCTTGTGTACATTGTGACATTAGGTCACAGCCTAATTTTCTAAATACCTTTTTTTAATCAATAATACTAATTCTTTTGACTTAATTTATAATTTTGTAATACATTTTTTTATTTCATCATCTTTCTTTAGCCCCTTAAGCGGTAGCGCAATTTGGACATTCTCCCCCTAAAATTCCCCACCAGCTCCCTGCAGAGCCCCTTTCTTTCGAGAACATTCCACCCTTTTTCGTTTCTGAGAATTCGCACTGGTTGTCGGCATCTTTCATCTCCGCGTGTATGTTGTGTTTCTCAACCGTAACTTTTAACGTATAATCAATTTTTCGTCTCAACTCTTAATTTTTAGATAATTTAACTTTAACTTGCACAACATGTACTACAACTTCAACTTTTAAGTTTTTGTCTCTTATAAAAAGAGCGCGCGAAAAATGACCATCGTATTCGAAATTCTTCAG